TTTTCCTTTATGTATGTTGAGACTTGCTGATGCAGAGGCTGTTGCTACACTGGTCGTCATATCAATATTTTTCTGAATCGGAAATACTTAAATTTGTGGATAACTGAATAATTTAATGAATAACATTTCAATATTAGTACAATCAGACATACAAAATAACAGTTGTTTCATTCTAGCACCAAACGTTTGAACACTATCAGTTTGTGATGGAGAGATAAGTGTATGCTATTTGAAGCATCGAATTTTCAAGATTATTGAACAAAAGAAACATTGAACATGAACAGCATAAACACGTAGTCCAAAACAAGAAAAATTAAATAACTCAAAACTTAAAGTGTTATTGCGTCACACAATTCAAAATATAATAATGAAAGCTTTTATTACGGCATAGACATTTTAAATGTATCTTTTGATAACTTTATCGGTTATATGATGATCTACGTGCGCTAAGCTAGTTGGTCTTGACAGAAACACATAGTTGACAAACTATTGCATATTGATGATGATATCTAGCATAAAAATCATTTCTGTCAGTATGATAGATGCTATGAAATTGTGTGTGTGTGTACTTCTTGTAACATTTTCATCGTTTGTTTGTTTTACATTAGTTTGTAGAAAAAAGTATTCACTAAAGAATTAGTATCGACATATTCAGTTAAAATATATTTGCTATAAATATGTACTAAGCATGATTATATGGTTGATTTGACATATAATAATTTGACACTTTAACTTAAAATTTAAATTTTTGACAGGAAAAAGTATCACACTCATTGTCTTACTTATTTCAAATTATTCAAAATACGAAATGGAAGAATTTACTGGTAAGAAATTAAAACAAGTAACTTAAAACAGAACAAATTCAACGATACTACTATACTTTTTGACGATAGTTATTATTATTACGAAAGATTTAACATAGAATTTGCAAAAGATAAAAAGATTATGAATGAATCTAGAAGTTGTTGCTGTTTTTATGTCTCAGCAGTTTAGAATATTTATTTTACCGTCTATACTAATTGCGCCTGTGTGTGGTTTCGCTTGAATTTTGTGGCAGTTAAATCTTAAATTTCAATTTTTGAAAAAAGTGTATCGAAGAAAACTCTGATTGGTACTAACATTTCAAATAATTGTCTTATATAGATTTATAATTTAGATATAAATGAAACAGGTGTATAAATTTTTGTTTTCGCCATCTCTGAGAAGATAGTCAATATCAAACGGAATTCTTCTGATGAACTACGACAGATTCAGTCAAAGTGAAGGCCGGTGTCAGTCAAGATTGCTTTCCCCTCACCCTTGCTCTTTTTCTTGGTGGCCGACGACTGGATTATGAAGACGTTAAGATCTGAGAGGAAGCATGGAATACAGTGGACAGTTGAGATGCAGCTGGATGATTTGGATTATGCGAATGACCTGTCTCTTCTGTCCTACACAAAAAAAGGAATGCAGGAGGAGACGACCAATGTAGCAGCCCCTGTAGTTGTAGGTCGCAGCATTAAGAAGGAAAAAGCAAGATCTGATACAACAAAGGATACACCGACCAGATCATACTTGATGGAGATGCTTTGGAAACCTTTACATATCTGGGCAGCATCACTGATAGACAAAGTGGGTCTGATTCAAATGTGAAGGTGGGGATTGTGAAAGAAAGATCAGAGTTTTTACAGTTGAAAAATATCTGGAACTCGAAACAACTTTCAACCAACACCAAATTCATACTGTGGATTCATTGGCCAGATATAATCGGCAAACCAGATTCTAGCAGAGGAAGAAATTAGGGAAAAGTGCTGGAGGTGGATGGGACATACATTGAGGAAAGCACCCTACTGAGTCACAAGTCAAGCCCTAATTTGGAATCCTCAAGGGGAAAGGAAAACAGGTAGACCAAAGAACGCATTAAGTCGAGAATTGGAAGCAGACATGAAAAGAATGAACAGTAATCCTGTTGATCTGTAAAGGAAGGCCCAGGATAGGGTAGGTTGGAGAATGCTAGTTAGTGGCCCATGCTCCATTGGGGGTGAAAGGCGTAAGTAAGTAAGTATGTAAGTAAGTTAAAAATTACAAATCAGCCGAAGAAATCTGGACCATAATATGATTTTCGACCATTAAAATTATTATTTACGTAATAATAAATTCAGTGCATGCATAGAAATGTAAAATCATGGTTAGAATATGTGACATTTATCTAGCAATTTGCTGTGTTATCTGATTTTATCTTCAGTAAGTTGGACGGTTTTCTGAAACCTTTTATTCATTTGAAAGACAATTTTCATTATTAGTAGAGTGTCTAGTTAAAAAACCAATAAAAAAAGGACAACAGTGAACACCTCCGATATCATATCTGACTGATCTGGGTAGTTGCAAATATAATTTTAGAAAATCTAAGAGAAAGCAGAATCTATAAAATTTTTGGGAACTCTACAAAAATACCTAATCATAAACTTGTTTCAAAATTAAAAAAAACCAAACTACTTTTTCACTAATATATCTTCATTTCCGATTAACTTCCAGATAAGTTTCAATAGCAATTATAACAGGTGAAATGAATCAACTTATAACCGACTTGGTTACCCATCAAAAAATAATTACAGCAGACTACCAGCTGGCTTGGATAGGAACATGTAAAGCGCTGTATCTGAATTCAGAAATGTCATAAAAATAGATTGACAGCAATTTTTAAAGATCCTGGGTTCATATACCTTAGAATTAGTAGGCAGGAATTATAATGAAGTCTCAAACTGAGGAAATTTACTGTCCAGTAATCTATGATCTACAGTGATTTCATAATTGATCTCCTTTTGGGGTGAATGTCAGACAGAATAACAAGATTTAATTCTACGCCAAATGATTTGGATTATCTCGCTGTTGGTATCCTGACTAAAATTTGGTCAGTATTTGTTGGTATATGGGCATCCTATACGGATTGCCTCGATATAACCATTATGACACAAGGTTGTATAGAAGTGGCTAGCAGCGAAATCCAGCTCAAGTCTCGGAGCTAGTATCAACTGTAAGATGCATGTACATCCAGTTGACGAGCCCTAAATAGGACAGAACGAGCTATTTAAATCCCGTTGCTAGCCACATTTTATCTATCCTATATTAACAAACTTTCATTTTAAAACAAGGATAATTTTGCAACACTAATAAAAATCAACTTCATGAAAAGTATATGAATAACAAAACAGCCCTTGTAAATAAATGTCCCTTATTTTAGAAATCAAAGAATAAAGTGATTCTGTATTTAAACATCATCTTTATTGCCCAAATTTTAACTGAATTTTGCTAGAAAGTTAAAACAAACAATTGAAAAACGTAATCTGACCCGAATAAGTTAAAAGATTCATTGTCAACTAACTGAAAACAGTTTATTCATGATATGCATAAAATGCGCGAATAAACGAAGCTAAATCACACATATATAACCCGGGAATATATGCATAAGAAGGCCAAAAGAAGCTTTGCTCTCAGGTCAATCAGTAGACAAAAAACGCATTGAAATTGATACAATTTATCAATCATTTAGAAATGTCATGGATAAACTTAAAATCAAGAATCAGGTCAAACAGGGAGTCATTGAAAACAAATGTGCAGACAACATCAGGATATTGGTCAACAATGACTAATCAATATCAAAGTAGACACCACAAGCCATAAGTCATAAGCGGGGAAATTCAAATAAGTCACTTTTACATGAAGTCTATTTTGGTGATGTTTAAGAGAACAATAAAATTTAACTATCAAATCATTTAGCCCAAAACAAAATGAAACTCCATGCACAGCATCCATCCATCTAAGCTACAAGTCTCGTTCATCACCTTGAAAATCGTGTATTACTGGCTATTTCTATCGTCCCTTTACAAAATTTATCGGTTGAACACTCATGGCAATACAGAACACCATGTTTTACACTGAGTTTACACTCAACAGCACAAGTTTCCTAACACAACCTATTTGGAACCCTAAATAACAACCATGCGGTGTAGTCGGCTATATATCATGGTAGAAATATATCGGTCACAGTTATTCTAGTGGAAACCATCTTCAAATTAGGAAAGAAAAGCTTCTTTGAACTAGTGGGTTAGGTTTTCAAATTCAAATTTGCTTATTACGTTTTAATGAGCTGGGTGTTACTTGTTACCTGGTCTTATAGAAAAAATTTGGACAAGCTGGTGAGCATAACTGCCTTTAATATTTCTATTATACTCATCAAGTTAAAGTACCCGTCGTAAATGCATTGACTAATTTTAATTCTTAGCGAAAAACAAATAAACAGTGATGGATTTCGTCATTTCAAATGACCATCCAAATAAGATACTGTTTTAACTTTTATGAACTAGTCAGTAAAATATTTACACTGTAAAATGATAGTATATCATATCATAATTTTTGAATAATAATTATTAGTAATATAAACTTCAATTAACTTAAAAGAATTCGCAATTTTCACAAACATCCGTGTAAAATGAATTATTTTTGTGATCGATCTTCAGTTATTACATATAACCTGCAAGGTCTTTAACAATACAAATCTAAATAAGTTACTTTTTTATTAAATTGTGGAATTCTCAGAGAGTATTACTGTTGTACAGATGGAAGTGAATCAGTCATTCTACAAATAAAACCTAACTGTATTGGAAAAAATGTTTATGTCCTTTCAAGTATCAAATGTAATCATTCAAAAAGTTTTCAAATCACAGTTCTTGAATTAAATGAACTTGGGTACAGTTTAGACAGTCAGTTTTTGAGGTTATTCATCCTTCGTTATTTCCAACTAAACTATAGCACTCTACCATTCATTGATTTTTCAGTTTTAATCTAATTATATAAGAATGAGTTTATTGCATACATGTGTTTGTAATTTGCCACATTAGGTCGAAAGCTTTAATCACACAAAAAGCAATGTTGATCTCCTTTTTTAAAAGTAATCGACATATACGCAGGAAGAAAAAGTAGGAATTATGATGAAAACGAAAGAATTATTGAATATAACCTACCGTCATCTGAATTAATTGCTTCAATGTACTGTAGAATTGAACAAAATATCAAAATGATTTGAATGGAATACATGCTCGATTTTAGAATATATATCATATTAAGTTAGTAAATAAGTTAAATTTGAAATTGTTTGTGCAAAACTTTAATTGGTTTTATTGTTAAGTAGTATATGTGTACGTGTTTCAGTTTTTCTTATTCAATTTCAATTCAGTATTCAATGTTCGCGACTTATTTTCCAAATGTTTCGTCCGCTTAACTCCGGTTGTTCTCGACTTTTATGATGAATTATAATTTATGACCAGGTGAGAAGATACTCTACGTCAGAAAATGAAGGTGAACCGACAGTAATCAAATTTGTAAAATGAACATTTTCCTCTTTTTGAGAAAAACTAATTTGTTTTCGAAATAATTTTATCAAAAGTTTGTATTTATGCAATCAGTTTCTTGTTGTTGTTGTTCTCTCGTTTTTTTCCTCTTAAGGGTATCGTTAAAAACCAAAATATAGCACAATCATACCTGATTGGATTAAAGATACATATCCCATCTGTTAATGGGCACTATGAATTAACCAATCAGGCCTGAACCAATTGACAGTAAGGTACAAGATATAAGAAAATACTAGGTATAAGTTTTCTGAAATTGTGTTCTGTGGTATATATATACATATATACTATAAGGATAACTTTTTAATGAACTGACATATGTTCATGACTTATTAAAGACCAAGATGTACTGAATAGCTGTTCAGTCTTAATTTTGAACTTCTGAGATACGGACGCTTATAAACGTGTTCAACATGTTTGGTATTCAGATATCACTTTTAGTTCAGTATGTGTAAATCATCAAAATGGATGACAAATATTTACATATAATGATGAAAATATTAAGAAAGACTTAAATCCAAGTTTAATTAGTATACACCAACATTTCAGTATCTTATTATGATAACATTAAGCGTTAGCTACCGCAGTAGATGAATTTACTTTGTGAAATATTGTTGTTAAATTTTCCGATTTTATATACCTAGGTACTACTTGTTTTAATTATGAATTCATTTTTCAAGTTGCTTCTATTGAATAAGAACTTACCTTAACTTGTACTACATATTTTATTTTAAAATTAATTGCTGAAAACACATAGAATTAAGAAAAATATTGAATTCTATCGATCTAACTTATAAAATTGGGAATTTATTAATTTAAAAACCTCAAAGTTGGTTCAAGATATTTTGATAGAAAAATAAACTTTGGTAAATAGTCGAATTAATCTTCATATAAATTATGTATGGATTGGTAAATTTATCCTATGTAAGTGGCGATAATCAAGTGGAAACTATGAACCTAGGTCTCGTCATCGCTTGTACTTATTAACAAGGCGAGCCCAGAAGCTTAAAAAAACTGGTGATCTGAGCAGATATGCCTTGGTGAAGAGTGTCAGCTGTCACAAAACCTGGGTTCAGGCTTTTCTGTGGCGTTAAATCGGCAAACGATCCAGGATAGTGTGATGTTGAGTCACACACCAGTAACAGCAAGAACAAGGGAAAAAGATTTCGAAAAGTCCCTAAGGACTAGATAAACATGAAGTCGGTCATCATTCAATGACCAGTCACTGTTAAACTAACTTTTAACCCAATATTCCAAAGTGCCATTTCTTGATTACTCATTGCTCTAGTCCATTCAAATCAGCAACTGTAGTTTAGGGTCGTAGAAATGAAAGCTTATTCAAATTGGACCTGGATCTAAGATTAAAAATTAATTACAATACCGATTACTTTCATAGAAAAATATTAGTTTTGACCAGCATTCGAAACCAAGACATGCACATTATCTTTTTTAGGACTCGTCAACTAGGTGTGGCGGCACCTCGAGATTATAACTCATAATATCTCGTTTCAGATGCCTTCTTATCCTTTGAGCTCCTGAGTGTAGATACTCACTCAATTGTGCAATACGTATTAGTTTGTAAGGGTTTTTGAACCATTGTTTTGTTACTATTCTTGACTGAAGTTCGATCACTTGTAGCTGGGATATGTTTATCCTGTACGAATCGCCTCAGTATATTTGTTTTTCTTAAATTTGCGGAAGATGTGCACTTTGACTGAAACGAAATTTCAGGACGCACCTTTCATCCTATTTAGGGCTAGTCAGCTGGAAATACTTTTATCCCAGTGCTGATTTTTATTTGGTAAACAGTGCCATGGTTATTATTATTAGTTAGTTTGGAAATAACTTCTTTAACTGCAAAGGCTGCAGATGTGCATAATTGATAAATGCCAACTAGAACATATTCAAGATCCAGAGCTTGATTAGGAGTCCTTTCAATGATCAAGCAAAAAACGTTTTAAAAATTACAAATCCCAATAAAACAACACTCTACCGAAAAATGTACCCATTAGTTACGATCTGTAAGGTCCATTTTTGAAGGTTTTGTTTGTGAAATCCCTCCATATATACATATGTAATTCGATCTTATTGAGTCCTTCAGTTGTACATTTTGTTAGCCTGTTCAATTCCATTTGAGATGATGATAATTGTATTTTATCATAGTCTCTATTATCTTGCCTTCATTGAGTTTCATTGTTTCTTTGTCAACTGCATTTATGTTGTTTCAACTGATAGTTAGTGTTGGCGGCAACCATATTGTGTTGCTTGCATTAACTAGAATTATGAACTGAAGCAATCTTCCACAATAGGAAACACTCTGTGTTATAAAGCAACTAAATATTATCCGTCGAGAGTACCTAATCTATCCAGAAAGGTTAGAATAACATTTATTTGTTGCTATTGATTTGATTAATTGGACAATTGTAGATGGGCTAACTGAGTAGTTAAAGTAGTGATGTACATTTATATTCATGGTGAATATTAGAACCATCATTCACCTAATCACTTGTTTTGGTTTCAGCTGAGCGATAGCGCATATCTAAAATATCTAGACAGTTATTCTTCAGTCCAAACTTCAGTTTAGATAGTACAGTATCTGAAAAGCTACTAATACTTGTTACTCATGTAGTGCAACGCTTCTACGAAGAAAATACGATTTGTGAAAAATAAACATTAATGTACTCGTTTTGTTTAACTGTACCAAAAACACTTCTACTTCTCGCGCGCAACGCTGTCTTCGCGTTGCTGCCATTTTTCTAAATGCCCTGCTCCCGATGTAATGCTTACTGTCTCCTTGGTACATGGATTTATTTTTATATACACGACGGGACCGTATGGAACATTTTTGGTGATCATAGTCAATCTGATATCTTGACTCGCTCACTAAACCCATGTTGGCTAATAGGCCACCGAACGGCATTCTTCAACTAACTATGTCCCCAACTTTCTTTTCTAGTTCTACCCAACTGCTGGTCAGTCTTCCTATGTCTGCCTTTAATTCTCGAATTCTTTGACCAGTCTTCAGGAGTACAATTTAGGGCCGGTTTCTTGACTTACATGGGTGATTTCCCCAATGCGTCCTATCAACCACAGCACTTTTTCCAAATTTTTCCTCCGCTGGGATCTGGCTTTTTCGCTGCTACGGTAGGTTGTTGTTGGTATTTCTGGCCGACGGATCCAAAGTATTTTGTGTAGAAAACTATTGTTAATCAACTGAACTTTGTAGATAATGTATTTTGTAGTTCACCAAGTTTTCTCCATATTATAGAACCCACGCCTAACACTCCTTCTTTACCAGGGCTTGAGACCGACGGTAACCCGGTAACGTCTACAGACGGAAACGATTTGTATAGGTAATCAATTCTTCTTTCAAATTATTTAGGAATTATTGCGGAACAATTACCCTTCAAGAATATTTGTTAAACTTTATCTATGTTTTCGATTATTTGTAACCGTATTCTTGTTCTTATCCGATTTATTATCTTTATAAAGTTGGTTTCTGATCTACCGTTGGATTTCTACGAAACAATTAGGCCACTGAGCGCGAAGAAATCAAATTGGTTTGCACTAGCTCGGGAAAAAGGTATTGGATATTGGAATTTCCATTTCATCAACTCAGCGCATTCACGAGAATTCGATCCATCAAATCCTAGTATATTTTAGCTGTATTTCTTTAATCAATTTTCAGTAAAAACCTTGTTGTAATGATTACTTCAGTGTTATTTTTTTCAATAATAATTACTCGGTTAATCAAACTTTCTTTGGTCTTGTTCAATAGATATTCTTATCAAGATAGGTTTTGTTTGCGTGGCTGAGAGATTAAAGTAAGCAGAGTCATGGACACAAATGTTGCTACTATAATACAATATGTGAACGTTTATTGTTAAGGAGCTTTATGATAAAAAGAAACTTTTCTCAAGTGTTTCTCAGTTTAGAATGGTAGTCTAGCTGAACGTGTTCCATTCATTTCAACTACAAAAACAAACTGCATTTGCCATGAGATCGTTTGGGTGATATGCTTTGTTTTGTCCATTGAAATATGTTTCGTTTTGCTTTGCATCAAATATGAGTAAACGTTACGCTGACACATTTATTAAATTGGTACACAGATGCAAAGAAACAAAGTCAGCTGTTTTTAGAACAGCAAAAATAATCACCTTTCAGTCGGTGAAAACTGTATTTTCATCCCAAAGAACGGACACAATCTTGCAGTCACCATACAGCAGCCATATTAAAATGAATATGGTCATGACAAGAACACACAACCATATGACAAGTGCTAATAGTTTTTGGTTGCTTTACATTAAATGTGTTCAATATTTGTCAAAATCTTCCTTTTTGATGTCATAGCTAAAATTCGGTACTGGTACTGTTCATAAATATCTGGGATATTACTGATGAAGCTGGATGGTAGTCAGTTGGTACTGCAAAGTTCAAATTTCTTGTTTGCAGGAGTTGAAAGCCCCGCCTTCAAGTACTAGAGTCCAGAAAGGTAAGTTGACTGAGACAATATTTCACCGTCAACTCCTTGTGTTCAGTAATCTCGAAACAGTATGAATAATCCCTTATTTTACGTGTATGTGACCTGTCCAGAGATTTATTATAGTCATAGCAACTTCCTGATAAGTGGAAACACACTACTCCGTCTCCATTCTCCAAATTAGGAGATAGAGAAGATCCAGCCTGCTACGAATCAGTCGTATTACTACCCACATTGAATTTGGTGGGAGCACCGGTAAATGAACAAGTGAGAAGTACATGGATAGGAACAACATTCTTCATGAAGCCGAACACAAGTTAAAGGAAAAGAGATAGTGCACATTCAATCTTCTCATAGAATGAGACAGCTAGAAAACATTTTGGCACCAAAAACATACATGTATACATAATATTTCTTGACTTTCAAAAGCCTCCGACACAGTACTATACTCATGACAAATAACGAACGATTTTGGAAATGAGATTCAATGACACATTCTTATGTTGGCTCAGGAACTCCCTTGAGAACAGAATGTTTTTCACCGAAGTAAATAAAGCGCACGCGAACTGAAGAGTCTCATGACTGAGAGTTTCACAAAGCAACATCTTAAATGCACTCTTCTTCCTGATTTTATTGATGATCTGTTGGATAAAGTAAGTTCAGCGACAGTGATATGCGCAGACAATGAAAAGATCTGGAGGTCCATGTATAGCGAAAAGGGATAAAATGAGCTTTATAAGGACAATGTAAGAAGAGAGAAATGGATAATAGAGGACGGATTAAAACTTAACCAGTCAAAGTTTTATGTCATGAACAATCTGATTTGCGCGACACAAATAACTTAAGTCCTAAACCCTCCAGTGTCTCCTCAGAGCATGATCTCGGTCTAGTAACAGTGGGAAGCCTGGATTTAATTTATAACTACGTAGGGCATGAAGCCAAGGCTAACAGAACTATTCGCTTTATGTTACGATAACATGAAGCAATCACCCACCATTGTTCTTAACTTCCTTACAAGCATAAGCGCTGCTAAACCTAGAAGGTTACAAGGTTATCGCACCTCTTCTTCTTAAGTTACAAATTAATTTGAACTGAGTGTGAAGACGGGCTACTGAATGAGTGATCGAATTTAGAATCAGAGGTCCACTAATGATGTCACAAAACACAATAAGGAGGCTGAATCAGCCCCAAAATGAACATCTTGACAAAACATCACCACTACTACCATTTAAGTAACCTTAAAAAAGCTATTTTTCAATCAGCAAGCACCCAGGTTGTGTACACTTTTCTCACTACTAGTAGTTTGGTATTCCATCCCAGCCGAGGTAATCACAGGCTTTCAGGGGTTAGCTTCAAGACGAGACTCGATAAACATATCATAACACACAGATTATTGTCTTCTACTTACGTAAGCTCTTCCTGATTCATGTAGCAAAACCAGCTAGTTGTTATCAAAGTCATTTCCTCAGATCATCAACTTATTCTCTCTCGTTAATCATCTCTGTTACTTCCACTACTGTTCTACCACAATATTTTCCACTAACGATTAATTAGCTGAGTTATCCATCCATTTACTGAGTTCTGTAACTTTACTCTCCTCATTAGCTTTTGAATTTCTTACCTAATATTGTCCATATTGCCACTAACTGATCTGTGGACTGGTAATGGGACAGCTGACGATATCCAGAAACCCTATAGCACTGAGACAATAGCACTCTCGCTTCTCACGGAACATACAAATTAACAAATTAACACAGAACTGACAAATAACCAAAATTAACAAAGCCAAGTAGCTAGACTATCATCTAGTGAAAATTAAAAAATATCTAGTTTACGTATTGGATACTGGAACAAACAGCGGGCGCAAAGAAATCATTTGGTGAGAAAGATATTGGATATATATTTTGCGAGTAAAGGTCACAAATCACTGTAAGAGTTAAAAATTTTAAGGGCTCATATTGATATATTTTGGATGTCTAGTCACAAATATGGCTTTTGTTTGTATGTGTCAATACAGCTGTACTTTTTAAAGGACGTGCTTTTAAAAGCATTTTCTGTTCTTCGTTTTAAGGATAAAATAATGGTCTAATTTCAGAATGTTGGCTCACCAAATTTTGATTCTAATACTTTTTATAAATCGGTCGAACTGTCTTGAATTTACTGTTGGAGCATTACTAAGTGATGAAAAAGTTATATCTGCTTTTAAAAGAATGGTCTCATCAGTTAGAGATAGCGTATATGATGAAACAGTTACCTTCAGAGCCGCCGGAGAGGTACTTCATCGTTCATTTTATTTTTCCAGGTTCTTGCTTTGAATGCCCTCAAGGCAACAAACCAGGTCTGCAACTTGTTCAATACTTCAGAAGGACGAATATTTGCGCTAATAATCTCTCATCCTAATGGAGCACCTGGATCTGCACCTTTGTCTGTATCGTTTACGTGTGCGTTTTATCATTTGCCAGTTATTGGAGTCAGTGCAAGGCACTCAATTTTCAGTGACAAGTACAGTCATGGCAGCTTTCTTCGCACTGTTCCACCATTCAGCAATGAAGCTGCTATTTGGGTAGATCTAATAAAAGCATTTGGCTGGCGTGAAGTTTGTGTGATCCATTCGGATGACCACGATGCTAAGAAGGTGTTATCTTACTTGGAGGCCTCTTCTCAGAGAGGAATAGAGTTCAAGGTTAGTCTTTAGTCGCTTCTTTTAGAAATATCACGAAGTTATGATCAAATCTATGCTGTATTACAGACGGTCGCATTCGCCAGCTAAGGTCCTCGTTTCGCTTGCTGGTGATAGAGTTCAATGGAAGGATTATTCTCGCGGAAAGTTTAAGGTTATAAAAAGCTGCTGAGTTTACTTGAACTTCTGGTTCAACCAACCAGAGTTATCCGTTTACTACGGTCTAGAAAGAGATCGTTTTCATGATGGTTTTTTTGACTTCTGAATAGTCTGCGATCGTAGTATTACTAAAGCTTCTTTTGACAGGAAAACCTCGATTCTGGTAGGGGGTTCTCGCGATCTTGAGAAATCGATTGGTAGATGGAACCAGTTCATCTACGGAGCTATTTTAAAATGAAACGAGATCTTCTTGCATCAGTTATAGAAGCCAGAGTATAGAAAGTGTTGTTTCAAAAATGCCATTAAAAGTACATTGGCCAGCGACCTTTTGATACTCAACAAAATTTCTGTTGCTGAACCGTCTAACTATTCAAATTGTGGAATGGTTGACTCAACCTCCGACGGTTGGTTAAGTTTTTGTTTTCAGTAATAGCCCCTTCAAAGTTGTCATAAAGTTAAGAAACATCACTAAGCAAACGAACTAGTTGTAAAGTATCATTTTAAATAGCTCAGTAGTGCTTTCATTTCTGCGAGGATCTGTGCACGTGCGTCTCTCATGCCGTGCCGGCAAAAGTCATCTTCTGCTTTTCAGAACAAGGCTTTGATACTATCAGGCCAGAATGAAATGAGTTCCTAGGTGGAAGTGTATAAGTTTTAATCTTTTACAGTTTCAACGTGAGTTTTATGAAAATAAGAATAAAATGTCTAGATACATCATCAACCACTAAAACCACATCACAGGATGTGAAAATCTATACGATAGTACGATAAATGACGGATTGGTTGTCTATCATTATATGTACCAGATCTTGATAAGCTCAACACTAAAGATCTGACCAACATTCATTACTTGATAGCGCCTCTGTCTGTAACACCTTCATAGTTGAGGAGCTGAAAATAAGTCGAATCAAAGGAAGGAGCAAAAAGGTTTCAAGGTTACCTAAGAAATGTTCAGTTCGTTGAGAAGTATATGATCCAAACTGACTAGTTGTAGCGAGAGATGCGTCATATGGCGATCTAGTGTTGATCTAGTGTGTGTGCGTGACCGAGCGCCTTCAGTTTGGGTGTGCCTAGTAAAATAACGGGGCCAGTGTCAATTTAAAAGATTTACAGAACAATTCATTTTAAGGATTTATCTATCGCTACATCTCCGTGCTTAATTGCTAGACTAATATAAAATTGAACTCTTATCTCACTGAATCTCGATGGTAAATGAACAGGGTATTCATAAGCTTTGTAAATTATTGCTTACTTCCGTCGACAATTACATAAGATTTCAGTATTAACTGAATAACCACACTCTGTTTCGTGTTATATAGATCAAGATTGTTATTAGGTAGTTTCCTTCAGTCTGTGACTTGGATTAACAGAGACTTATTATTTAACGGAAGAAGCTTAGTAATAAAACTGAACTGCAATAACCATAAATATAAGCGAAGAAATAAAGCACTTTGGTTTTTGTCATCTCTTGCAACATCGCTCTGATAAGCTGAGTTATTTTTTCAGATATTATGACTTTCGATTCTGTCAGAATTTAAAAGTTTAGTTCCGTAGGGGGGCTTCTGACCAATTAGGAAGACCGATCACGCCTAGATTTAAAACTTTTACGGAAATTTTGACAAAACACTTCTTATTTGTACGGAAAAGTTCTGTCAAATCGATCTGCATGATTTTAAATACTTTTAAAGATTACCCGACAAGTTCCAATCAATACAGATGAAGAAGATGCTGCTCAAATGAAGGATTTTATAAGCCTTTTGCAACCAGTTAAAAACGAGCAAACAAGAGTTATTTTACTGTTTTTACGCCGAAAGTTTGCAGAGTATGTGTTTTTAGCTGCACGTAAATTGGGCATGTTGGAAGCTGAATGGGCGTGGATCGTTACGGAACAAGCTTTAGACGCTTCAAATATACCAAATGGTAAGTTAATAACCATTTTGACTTTATGAATCGGAGGTTTTAAAAACGTGTGTTTTGTAAAATTCAATCATAAAGTCTTAAAAAGGAATCATTCAGAAAAGCCTATTGGATCAGTTTTAGCTAAAACTGAAGTGTGCATTATTTCGCAGCAATTTTTAACAACACATCGTTTGTTACTTGCAAGTAGTCATATTACTTTTACCAAAATTATGTTGTACCGCCGTTTTCTATGGAAAAGAAAATACCCCACTATCATATACCGCAATGTCTAACATGTAAACAATAATTTTAAAACACTCTATCATAAAAAAGGTAGAACCAAGTGTAAATGTAAACTGATCAAATTTGTATTACTTTCCTTTGATAAAACTGAAAAAAACTTATAGGAGTGGAAAATTTATTGAAAAGTCTGAGTGAAAATAATTAACGAAAATGAGAAATGAACAGAATGACAATCAGTCTAAAAATAAATACATAGAATAAGATGAAGACCAACTTATTCCACCGTGATGAAAGGGATTTTCAATGATCCAGCTTTAAGTTTTCAGACAGTGACTTATCACCCACATCCTGAACAGAAAGTCTAGAACTCCCCAAAAATAGTCAAAACAATGCAATCGATATTGTAGGTTGATACTAGGTACTGTCAGAAAATCCTATTATTTCGGTGATATTCGATTCAGAATGTTTCTTCCATCAAATTTTAATGTCAGATTTCTTCGTACTACGAAACATAGCAGGTTTATACTTCATATTACTAAGGTTAACATTTGTCATTGTCACTATCAAACATTTGATATTTTACGAGCATTTCTTTCACTTAATGATGCGTTATCAAGGTGTGATTGGTGTCCGGTTACTTCAAGTTACCGAACTAGATCACGTTGCTGATGCAGTCAGAATCGCAACTCAAAGTATTCTTCATTTAGTTCGCACTGATTATGAGGCTATGAAACATCTTCATTCAGTTAAAGCATGCAGTGATAATCCTTCAGAAATTCAATCAAAATCAAAGATGCGTGGTGGATCGACTTATATGTGGAAAGATTACTCAGCTAAACTTTTTCGGTAAGTTGAGCTGGTAAGAAAGTATTATAGAATTTCTCACAACTTCATTTCAGACCTTTAAGATATAAAACAAAATATCGATTTAGTACTGAGTTATTTTAGTTTCAAAAAAATGTTTTTATGTTACCATAATATATGTTTATATATTCCGGCCAATCAAACTAAAGTTTTAAAACTATTTCATGAAATTTATGGAACTAGATCAACGGACTAAATTACTTTCACTATATAACAGACTCAACCATCTACTATTTCAATTGCTCCCGAAAGAAAATTTTCGAGACTGGGCGGTTAGGGGAAGATGCAATAACAATAATGAGTGAAATAACAAAGTAACTGAGAAGTCTGATGCTTAAAGCATCGAATACGAATACGACATGTGTTTAATGGTGTAAATAGGTAGGGTATTTTGTAGAGGATAAGTCTTATGAACCTTAAATAAATTAAGATTCTGTTTTTACAACCTCAATTCTAGTATCTATTGTAAAATCTTTTATACTTGACTAGGATTCTCTAAGTACTTCTTTTAATAAAAGTTTGTAATTAAACTAAGTTTTTCGGTTAAATTATCATAAGCTCTATTTTATTAGTTCTGTATGTCATGTTTTGTATCTGCTTCCAAGTAACACTGGTGCATAATTTGAAACGATTATCGGCATGTATTAACTCCTCAACCAAAATAGTCTATTTTGATTAATAATTTAAAAATTTAAATTTTCAATAGTATTTTTAATTGTTCAACACAAAAATCCCATAACAATGTAATCTTCAACTGAGTAAGATTTCTCGACTACCGTTCTATCTGTATTTAATCTGGAAATGTTATCTGTGATCTTTTATCTAAGGAGAAGAGTTTATTTCACCAATAATAGTTTATTGAGTTTGTTGGGAATTTTTATTATATAGTGATTTCAAAAGGAGAACTGTTGAAACATTATTGTTTCATGAAAGCGCCTTTAGATTATGAGAACAGTTCGAAACATTGATCTTTTTTTTATCTACTAAAAAAAAATTAATAAGTTTATAATATGTAACTGATTAAAATCATATTTTTCTGTGATGTTGAAACAAGGGATCAATATAATGAAAGTCTGTACTGAGATTAGATAACCATCAAATGGTTATCTGGATTATTTGAAATGAAATTGATTCACATTGGCACAGAAAGCTGATACGGTTTATGTAAATCAGTGACTTTAAGAATGTTGAAGAACTACTACTGTACGTACGGTTTATGACATAAAAGATATAAATTGTGCTAGCTATACAAATTGATAGTATATTTTATTTGTTTAAGTTCTGATGAAAAAATAAGACTTCTTTCTAAAATATATAACTTACATAACAAAAGAACTAAGAACTGTCATGAACAATAGCATTCTTTTGTACTTGTTTTTTATGCTGATTAGTCTCAGTCAGCCTCTAACATGCGTGTACTAGTTCAAGCTCCTACAATACAAATGTCAGAGTAATAGAAGTAGAAACATTTTCTCTTGGCCTTGACAGCAGAAAAGATCAGATCTAGTCAGTATGGTTTGATGAAAATATATCCGTGCCGTAACCAGAACGTATCAGAATAATTTAAGCCTTAAGGTTTAAGATAAGTCAAAGATTAAATGGATCACTAAAGACCAGCTGATAATTTCTATTTGTTTTTAAATTTTACTTTCAGAGACATGCTAGCAATGAATTTAACTGATGGTCGAACTGGTCATTTAGAATTTAATGAATATGGTGATCGTATTAAACCAATTTATGACATAGTAAATGCTCAAATAATTAATCAAGATATGAATAATTTATCTTCACAAAAATCATTTGAATTTGAAAGGCCAACATTAGTGTCTGTGGGAAGTTACGGAGTACCTCAGGTATAAAGGCATATTTATATAAGTTAACATTTTATGTCATCGTTTAAAAATGTTTTCTTATAAGTTACTTGTTATATCTCCCTAGCATATTTTACTAGCAGATGGGAAGTATGTCGGAGGTGTTGCAGTCTCTCGGTTGGATGGTTTGGTTGTGAAGCTTTCATTACCCATCTGAACAACCTTTCTTTGAACTGAGTATTGATGGCGTAGTTCGGAAAGGTAATGTAAACTTTTCAGCTAAACCTTCCAGCTTAGAGACCAAAACACCAACATTCTTTGCCTGAGATACAAATATTCCCTATTATTTCAGGCCTTAAGTAATTTTCCTAGAAAACAAACTTATTTTGAGAAACATAGAGCACGTTAGCTATATTTTGGCTTGTTTATGTTTAGTTTGGTTTAGTTCTCTTATTAACTTGTTTAACGGATAGCGTCATTCGAACCTTTGTACTATCATATTGATCGTGTTTATATGAGTATGTGCTGGAATATTGATTAAAGCCTAAGCACATATTCATCCTACCAGTGTTAACGTTTGTCTCTTAAACGATTCAGTAACTCATTCAGTTTACTACATTTCTGTTCAATATTATTTGTATTCATTCGCTCCTTGAACTTCACATCTCGTTTCACTTTCTCTTCGTATACCTGTGGTTTTGTCATGGGTTTTGTTCGATAATGAACATCATCAACGTCATATATGTCTTCTAAATTAATACACCATTTGGTGTGACTAGCTGCGGTTATAAAGACGAACAGTATACGAAGTTTAGGAATTATATCGAACATCCATTGCTCCAAACATTCGAAAACCAGACTGCATTGAACAGTTGTTTCACTGATATTTATACTTCAGCGAAGAAAACCTAAACATTTCAAAAAATATGCTGCACATTACTCTCTATCATCTAGCTACAGGTTTAAGTTCCTATCACACACTCATTATCTGATGAAGTTAAGAACAAAAATTTCATATTCCGTAGTGATCGATTTCAATTGGGATACCACTTAAAATCAAGAAGCACTGGACAGCTGTTCTGCCTAGTGTGCTTTTTGATTTGATGAACTCTCATATATATATATATATATATATACTCAAAAAATATAAAGTGGTGATCAGAAGGAACATGTTATTATTCGGCAAGCACAGAATCAATATGGGAATTAATGAGCCGAAATGATCATTTTTTTAGTGATTTGGGATAAATTAACCTCCAAAATGAAGTGATCTCCAAACATTCCTGTGATTTATACCTCGTGTAGTATTTGGGAGGAAAATGTAAAACTATCACTACTGTTTCATTGATATATCTCACCATTGTAAGCAATACTACACCACCCTCACACCAGAAATATCCTTCAAAATTATATTCACTATCAAAAGATTGGACCGAATAGAAGCATGAACCAATACCTCATATATTTCAATAGAGTTCACAATTCTATCATCCAAACCCAAACTCACAGCACAAGATTTTTAATTTACTATGGTCATATTATTCTCCATAAACTAGCTGTTAAAACTTTCCTTGACATTTTAAAATCTTGGTTGTTTGTTATTTAGTCTCCTGTGTCTTAGTTTCTTCCCGACATTTTTTTCATAGTCGTCAAATGGATAATTGTTCTTCGTATATTCAATTTCATTCGATAGGTCACTTAAAATCCACAGTACACTTTACTGCATACATCCCTTTTTTATTTTATAGATGACTACTATGCTTGTTAAATTATTATTTAATATATTACTGTATAGCCTAAATAAATTAAATGGTTGATAAAAAGACACTATTCAGTGAAATGTTTTTGATTATTCTTCAACAACACAATGAGTTTAATTTGTTATGAAAGATTAAACTAATTAAACGAATACAAGTAGAATTTGTCAGTACAATAAACTTTATTCCGAAGTGTATTAGTTGATTGATTGTTTTTAAATATACAAAAACTTTGACTGAGAGTTTAGTAAAAACTTCATCTGAAAGACTAACAGTGCCTGAAAATACATGATGAAGTACACCACTAACTCCTACTTCCTTGGTCAATCAACATAGATGCTTAATTGTTCCTCCCGTAATAATAATTGTTACTCCCGTAATAACCGATAATCAAAGACTATAAACTGAACTTACAATGGAAGATCAGAACTTATTCGTTAAAACTCAGTTTGAACAATAGGAAGGTAATATATGAAATCGTTTTAATTATAAAACGAACAAGGGAAATGAGATTTTGACTAAGATAATTCGATTCAAGAATCATTAATAAATTGTTCGACAAGGACACATATTTATTTTTTTATGGGAAAGGCGATGGGTTAAACTCTAGGATACATAATTCTTTTTTAACTAACTCAGTATAAGTTTGCATCTATCTTTTATCATACAAAGGGGCGAAGCGATTTCTCAATACACCATCCACATCACAAAATACGTATGTCATAGGGTAAAATGTGTCGGTTTAACCTCACTTAAGACGTGCCAAGAACTTCATTTAAGTTTTTGTCATGGAATTCGACTCACTGATGTATAATTGCCAAAGTATTACTTTTTTTTAAATTTGTTTCATTAGCCGTAATAATTTCGTATTTTCTCATTTAAAGAAATGCTTTTCTGTCAAATTTTTACCATTGATTCTCACTTGAAAGCCAACTCCTCTGGAATGGTTATCTGATGAACCTCATCCTGCTTTATTATCAATCAATTTAAGTAAATTAATTTGGCCAGGTAATAGTATTGTGAAACGCCAACAATTGGTGTGTATACAACGTGCTAGTGATGGAAAGTGTCAAAAAACTGAAAAACGACTAGTACATGCAGCACCAATTAGTTTTAAGAAGAAAACACATTTGAAAGTAAGTATGTTTTCTGTTTGAAACTTCATAAATATGCAGAACTGGTTGTACTAATATCTATATATTTGTTTGATTACTTGATCAGCAAGCTTTATATTATTTATCTCATGTAATATCAATGATAGCATGTGAAGTTATAAGGAATTCTGAGTAAATTCGATGTTAACTTGAAGTATGGAATGTTTAGATTCCCATTAGAACTATGAAATTCGTACTTAATTCTCCTCACTTTATTTCAAAACATGATGAGAGCACTAGCAACTACTGAACACACCACCTTTAAAATGGATAACGCACTTAGTTTTCTAGTTTTAAATGTTAAACATAATTTATCTCTTACATGTATGAAGTGGTACTAGATGGTATCCGGTGAGAGAAACGTAAAAGCTTCAAACCTGACAGACAATATTGTCAAATAAAAAGCATTGTTCAGTAATTACAAGTAACAAAAAATATTCTTAATAGGAATTTCAGCAATAAATTTATAAAAATGTTTCTACTGTGAATTGTTTCATTTACAGGTATTTGATTGATATTCTAACTCAGAATTTTCCAATCTACCGTTTGAATTGTTTGCAAATATTCGGTCATAATATTAATTGTGGTCGGGGCCTCCCGATGAAATCTAAATTTATTGTTTCGCATTGTGATTGAAATATTTTGTATTTTTATTTATTTTATTTAAATCGTGAATTTAAATCAATGTTCAACCTGGAATCTCAGTATGAGCCGTGGATTAGTGTTGCTGAGTTTCCAACTGTGATTTCAAGTTTCCAATGGGGATCTAACATAGATCGATTTATGATTTGGATGAAACTTGACAGTCTCCACAACACTTTAATAAGAAATAATTTTGCTTTAATTTAATTTTGTTGTAAATAGCATTTCCATAGTTAACATGTATATTGTTCATTATTTTTCGGATGATTTTAAAGTTTTTTTTATTTCATTTAGGAAAAGTTGATTTGCTTATTTCTTTTTTTTATCGCTAGGTTGTAACTATTCAAAGTGTGCCATTTGTATTTACTCGTCCAAAGTTAAATAATAAATGTAATGAATCTGATGATCCGCTAGTTTTTAAAACGGAAATTGAATGTACTCATACTGACCCAACTACTGGTATGTCAGTTATTTTTTATTCGAAAGATCGTAGATTCAGTTTTGAATGATGGTTATAAATGAATATGTAGAAAAAGTTGTTGTTGTTGTGTGGTCGTTTAACTTTTAACTTTGAGTAAATAAGCAATCGACATTTCATTTGATTATCTCAACGGTTATCAGCAATAGTGGTAAAACTTATAGGATAAAACCAGTTATTCATTTTTCTTTGGAAGCTTTTCGTCGTCTGCGAACAGGATAAATGCTTAACATACTTTAAATTAGGGCCATTGATATAAATATTCATAGTGAGACTGAAAATAAAGATAGGTGAAGGTATAAATGATGATATTTAATAAATAATTAATGTAACTAATTAATGACCAGTGTTGCTTTTTATTTAATCTTTTGATATTGATCGAATTTTATCTATTTGATTAAAGCGTAATTAACAGTTTGGGTGTGCATGTTATCATGTATACTATGTTATGTAAGGTGACTGAAGGTGGCAAACAGAGAACCTTTCCGTAAATCTAGTGCTTGTTGGTGCTTGCCACCAAGTCGTACCTACGGTCATGAACAGAATGGATGCTCTGTGGGGAATTTCAGTTCGTGTCAACATTAATAATAATTAATGGGTAACGAAAGCAATCTATATTTTACTTTATATAGGTCATTGTCACCAAATGCTGATGATTTAACCTGTTTATATGAAAAGAAAAGAATGAGATAAGGACACAGCCTTAGTAATGATCATTCTTTTAAAATAATCCCACTTGTCGTTTACTTTTGATTTTACTAATCTACCAGACTACTTGTTTAGTTTATGAGTAATCATCTCATTTAAGCGCTTAATTAATTATTCTTATTTTATTCTCTATATGCCATTATGAACTAGAACCTAGATACTTGATGTTTACCGGCAATAAGTAACGGTTCGTAATTTCATACTTATGATGCTAATCACTACAAAAGATTGGTCTCTATTACAATACATGTATCCCGAGTGCATTAACTCAATATAACCACATTTACACATTGAATAAACATAGATCTGAATTCTCTAGCGCATTGATTACTACATACATCATTTAGTACTTTTGATCAACAGCACTCTGAAATGTGTAAAAATATCTATTTGATTGTGTTTTCTATACAAAAAGTTTATCACCTGTAACTTTATTGATTGCAAAACTGAATCTCTAAACGCATATTCATCATTTATTTATTAATTGGTCGACTGATTTGTCGTTGCATAGTCATTTAAGATAAACAAATAATTTATTCAATCTGAATTAGTCTGTTTGTTTATTTGTCATCAGATTTTCTTAGATTCGTTTTTCGACTTAACATCTTAGTTGTTGAGTAATTTCAGTAAGTTTATTGTTTTTTCTTCAACAGTTCAACTCACTTTGAATGCTAAAGTATTGATTCATGCTCTTATAGTTTCTTTATTTATTCATATGTAAAATATTGCCATGACCCATATTATAGTCATTATGCTAATTAATTCACTGTATTATATATCATAACAAGTTGTGTATTCTGCATAATTGTTGTAAAACTATTCTCATCAGCTGTAAATTGATTAAAATCTTTAGTCTTAATCTCTTTTACCTAATTACCCATTCTTTACGATTCTCTGTTTCATAGAAAACTTCCGTTGTATACCGATCAATGTGTGAATCGTTTATCGTTTATCGACTTAGTTTTAATTCTAGCTAATTATATAAGTGAGGTTAAGACCAAGCCTGTTGGATATAAAGATGCAATCACAAAAATCTGTATGTCTATGTCTGGTCGGTATTCAGTGTTATCATAATCACAATTCAGAACCCAATTAGAGATAGCTATTGACATTTAGGATATTCATTTTATTTTAGTTTATCACACTCTTCTCCGAAGTATGTTTAATTTCTGAAAAATTTGATTACAAAACTCATATGATTATGCCTAATGCACAATCATTGATGGTCAATGTTTTTTCTGCTTATTCAATTTCTCTCAAAGGTGTCAAGAAGCATTATTGTTGCTATGGTTACTGCGTTGATCTTCTTCGTTTATTGGCCAATAGAACTGGACTGGAATTAACCTCTACGCCATTCACATATGATTTACATCTAGTTGGCGATGGACAAATAGGTGATGTTGATGAAAATGAAACACATAAATGGACTGGTATTATCGGGGAAATTTTATCTGGTACAGCTGATTTAGCTGTTGCACCAGTATCTATTACACCAGAAAGAGCTGCACGAGTTGAATTTACAAAGCCATTTAAATATTTAGGTATAACTATTCTAGTGAAACGAGTAAGTTGTTTTTTGAAAGAGATAAGTGTAGAGTTAAGTGAAGAGTTTTTAATCTTATAGTCTATATCGCTAACAGATCTCAGTAACCCAACGGCTGAAAGACAAAATATTAGCACACCTGGTTGATAGTGGTTATATTGTAGATAAGTCTAGATCTTTTCGAGTGATCTATCGTATACCTCCATTATTTCCCAAAGCATTAGTGCACAGCTATTTCATCTTAACGAATGTTTATGTGACTGTATGCATCTACGAACCCACAAGGAGTCGAGTCCAGAAAATTCAGGCACTGTGACAAGCTCTTGGTCATTGTATCACCTTTGTATCAACTAGTTTACACTTTTCGACTACTGTCGGTTTGCATTATTGCACAACCATCTTTCGAGGATGCACACAGCCGAAGAACACTATCCTTGGACAAAACTGATGTTTCTTTGTTTTAATAGTTGTCTAGTTATAATAATTAAAGCGTTAATTGTAAACTAAAAATGACTAGGTTTTTACTTTACTTTTTCGATCATTGTAATTTGGAAAATAATTACTAGCTGTTATCTGCTCATAAATACTAACATCGTTTATGTTCCACACTTTTAACATTAATCGAAGGTTTTATTGAATCTGAGGTTTAACTGTTAGTTTTGTGAACGGATGAGATTTGTAGAAAAAATTCCTAATTAAGAATAGAGACTGGTGCATTCAGTTTCAATCAAAATTCTAATATTCACGGTGTTAATTTATTCAATCGTCAGTGCGGTCAAAAATGAAATCAAAAATAGACCATTGATAGCTACTCACAAATGAAACCAAAATTAATGTCACAAGTTTAAGTATCAAACTGAACATAGACTGCTTCAAATTATATAACAGATGTTATACTAAAGTTAAGGTTGAAGGTGATATAATAATTCACTAACTTCTCATTTTTAAATCTAATGGAACCCGAAAAAACTGTCAACCAACTCCAAAATCAGGACTTTCAATACAAATGTCAAGGCAGTTCTATTGTATGGGACGAAAACTTGGAGAACTACGAAAGCCATCAACCAGAGGATACAAGTATTTATGAAAAGTTGTCTTCTCAAAATACTTCGAATCCGTTGGCCAGACACTATCAGCAACAGCTTCTGTGGGAAAGAACAAACCAGATTCCAGCGGAAGAGGAAATCAGGAAGAAGTGGATAGGACATGCATTACGGAAAGCACCGAACTGCGTCACAAGACAAGCCCTCATTTGGAACCTTCAAGGTCAAAGGACAAGAGGAATGCCAAATAACCATTACGCCGAGAAATATAGAAAGATTTGAGAAGAATAAACAAAATTGGAAAGAACGGGAAAGGGAAGCCCGGAACAGAGTAGGTCGGCGACTTATGCTATATTGGGGGGGGGATAACTGGCGTAAGTAAGTGGAAAAAGTAGTAAAGGTACTGTATACATTTGTAAAAATCTTATGATGCGATATGTATTGTACACGTCGGTGTGTTTGATTTTTTCATAGGAACGTGCTCGATCTAATCTTGGCTCATTCCTTCAACCATTCGAAAGTTCACTTTGGGTTCTTGTAGCCTTATCTGTACATGTTGTCGCTTTTGTATTATATTTACTTGATCGCTTTTCACCATTCGGTCGAACAACCTCTGATTTTGATTTATCTGTCGATGGAAGTGGTAGTCATTCAACTTTACGTCAATTTGACAATGAAAAACAAAATGCTGACAAAAACACACTTATTCCAAATGATCTACAACAACAACAACAACAAAAAGAAGATGAAGAGGGTATGAATTTAAGCAGTGCAGTTTACTTTGCTTGGGCTGTATTATTAAACTCTGGTATTGGTGAAGGTACTCCACGTTCGTTTAGTGCTCGGGTTCTGGGAATGGTCTGGGCCGGTTTTGCAATGATAATAGTAGCTAGTTATACAGCTAATTTAGCTGCATTTCTTGTTTTGGATAGACCTGAAGCATCTATTTCTGGAATTGATGATGTTCGAGTGAGTTGTTTTTGTGAATATATTCTTAGTAATGCGATATTATATCTTTTTCTTTTGTCAACATATATCAGCTTCATTGTTTTTTTAGCTTCTACAAATGTAGTTTTAATTATTCGGCATTTATTTAAATGTTTAACCAAGATGTATCAGCTGCTAAACTTTTCCACTGTTTTCAACTCAAACGTTTTTCAGTAAGTTTCAAAATTTTGACGACTTTGACATTGAAGAATAGAGTACGCTCGATAAACGCCAGCCTTTAACACTCGTACATTGTACCTTACCAGCCTCAATGCCTAGATTTAACTAAACCAAGTTATATATTATCACCATTCTACAAAGTTCGATTGGTTACCATATTTGGAAGAATTTATTCTGAAACGCACCTCAACAAAAGAAATTTATAATCTTTGTAAAGATCCGACTAGATGATCAGTATACTCCTACTTAATTCCAGTCCTCATTCTGAAAACATTAGATATTGAAACTTTACGCTTATACAGTAGATAGATATATGAGAACCAAAATGATTATATGAACTGGAAACTATATAATAATCGCATTACTTTTTATGGACTAGATTTTAAAATACTTCACTATCGTGCAAACCTCACCTTAAAAAAGTGCACATTGCTTGTTTTAATAATATATTACGGTAAAACTTTTCAGTGCAAATTATGCTTACAAAATTATCTTGGTTATCCATTATCTAATTACCATTGCATACTAACACATCAGTTAACTATTAAGTGGAGAAGCTAAACAATATAACATGAAATTTATCTTTCACGTGAATTTAGCCTCTAATTTAATAAATTTCATTGTCAAGAACAAATTACTCTTTTCAACGATTGTAAACTTGAATGGTCTGTCTCACGGTGAAGCTTCATTCTCTAAGCTGAATTCTTTGGTTGTGAAGCCTTAGTTTTTACTCTGAATAACATCATCGGCATAAACTTCAGGTAGAAGTGAAGTATTTAGAATTCCTCCGTGTCTGACTCCTGGCTTGTTATGTTGGCCTCAATCTTCATTGGTTGTTACTGACCTTAGCCTTGTCATTCATTGTCTGCCTCCTTATTCTGATTATATACCCCTTTGATTTGGTTCCTAATGCTATGTTTTTCCATGATTTTGTTGATTCGTTGACCCAATTTATCGACTAAAACATCCATCTCATAGAACGAAACTCCACCTAAACTACACATTTTCTATCCCTTCTGAATGGTTTTATTTATTTTCCATGTTAGAAATGTTATAGAATGTAGTTATCTTTTAGACTGTGTAACTAGATAATGCAGATCTGACTCAGACATGGAGCATCAGTTCCTTCAAAATTACAAGAACACCTTGTTGATTAGTCTCAAATAGCACTAAATACAAGTTATGAAGGCTTTCATGTTAACTATGTTACAACTTGATCTACAGAATCCGATCAATGCTAAAGGACAAAACATCAATAACAGTGATTATGTATGAGATGATTGTTCTATGTTCAGCTATCAATATTGGATAGTAAATCCGCAAGTTCAGGACAATAAATAAAAACAAAGCTAACATCTACTCAACTAAATGAATAAGTAGCTGTAGCAAATAGAGCTTACACAGTCAGTTGTATTCTTCTACAAATAAATCTTAACCAATATTTATCAATAAAGCAAGCGTAGTACAATATATATTAAACAAAAATATATAAGTTATACAATTGAAAAAAATAACTTTTTAAAAACCAAAACAATATTTTGTAGATTATAAGAGCAATTTGACATACCAGTTAGTTACACATTTTTGAAACCATGAATCGATCAATGTTAGACCACCATTAGAAACCTGGAAGTACTGGACGGCCGTTTCGTCCTGGTATGGGACTCCTCGATTCATGGTTTCAAAAATGTGTAACTTAACAATCTTCACAACACCGTAATGCATAATACCAGTTAGTTAGTTATCTGTATATGCCAGACCAAAAACGAGTGAAACGTTATACAAACTAGTAATTACATTTTTAAAACATAATATAATGAATAAAAGACAAGTGACCATTCTTGAATGAATATAAGTCTATAAAATATTTCAAGATATTATGATCATCTTTTATCCAATCTATTTTTATTGATAATATTACTTTTTATTTGATATTTAGCTTCGTAATCCACAAAAAGATTTCCTTTTTGCAACAATTCGTGGTAGTCCTGTGGAAATGTATTTTAAACGACAAGTTGAATACGCCACAATGTATCGTGTAATGGAAACGAACAATTATGATTCAGTAGAAGAAGCAATACAAGTAAGTCGAATCGAATTGATTGTTCACATACAACAGTTGTACAATATAATTAAATATTTATAAGTGAATAATATGTTCATAGAATAAATAACTGCCTATGGATTCTTTAGTGTTTTCTTTGGGGTACATCAAACCACTATTGGAACATATATAAGTGATGAACTTACCAACCGGCTGATTATTTTTAGAAATAGGTAGATGCTATGTACTATGAGCTACTAAACTTAAATGCACTCAGCTAAATTAATTGTTTGTGAAAAAAAATAGTATCATTTTAATGGGCAATTGCACAACAGTTGAATCAACTGATATTTTAAAACTCTTGCCAATATTTATTTCAGATTTCAAGAAAGATATCCATCATAAAAGTGGTATATATACAGTCGATTGATTACCGAGTAGATAGCTTGTTCAAGTTTCATAGAGCAAGTTGCATTACGGTCACTTGTCTAATCAAAGTGATATAATATTGTAGTGATTCAAGGTTGGACAGGATCGACAGAAAACCCTTCCTGACTTATAGTTCTAGCTATTTGACGATATTCAGCAAGGTGTTCCTGCAATAATAAGGGAACTGTTACTCCTTGGTTTTAGCTGAACGCGTATTGTAAGTTAATTTAACAAATAGGCTTTATATAGTTGGGGTATAAACGTATGACAGTTGTGTACTTCTTCGCAATAAAGAACTATCAAACTGTTTGTTTATGTATTATTAATTATTTCATCATATAAATTTTTTAACTCTTCTCCCATATAAGGCTATTAAATCAGGTTCACTTAAAGCTTTTATATGGGATTCGGCAAGATTAAATTATGAAGTTTCCATTGATTGTGAATTGATTACCACTGGTGACGTGTTTGGTCGTAATAGTTATGGCTTAGTAATGAAAAAAAATAATCCATGGTTACATGAATTATCACAAGCAGTGTTAAATTTTCATGAAAGTAAGTTGTTCATTGGATAAAACATTTCCGAAATGGAAAGTTTTAATTTTAATGATTTTTGTGAATATTAATACTATATCGTAAATGAACATGTGTTAGATAATCGCGAATACTAGAAATGTATTCGGTAGTTGTTGGGTCTTTGCTAAAGTGTATTCAAAAATGGATTGTCATTTCATCGTGTAAGTTGTGCTTTTCAAATGATACACTAATTTACCCATTCATGTACGAAAGCAATAATTGACATTTTCATAACTGCTTTTAATCAATCAATCCCTATGGATACATGAACTTCATGGGCAAATAACTTGATATAAAAACCTTTAGCTATAATTTAACAATGATTTAAATAGTATCTATTGGTGGATTACTAGTCACCCGGATTATTAAAAGTCCAAACAAATTGAAAATAAATGCTATACTTATTAAAATAGTGTGACAGTGATCCCTCAGTCTAGATGTCATTCTATTTGACATTCATCTACAATAAGTAATTTTAGTATAAAGATAACTGGTAGCTTATGGGAGACTATAGAATATATGTTACTGAATTTCACGTTCTGAGATGCTTGGGACGCTGCTGATATTGCTCCAGTACTAAGATATTTATACTTGAGTAATAAATGTCATGTTTTTTTTCAATTCTCCTAGTTGCTTAACTGAATTTGATTCTCTTTAAATGACTCAATAAACACTGTACTGACAACTGGCTAGTGATCATGCTATTTCAACCGACATACATCGATATTTAGCTGATGAGCTTCAATCGGAGTGAAACAAGCATATTGATTTTCAGTGTCAGGTACCACTAAAAGAAGCACAATCATGCATAAACAGATCATTTTGACGATTAAAAATAATCGAGTCATTACCAAATCACGTAAATCTTTAATTCGGTAGTGAAATATGTATGGTTTTTCAATTTTCGCATGAATTGATTTGACAGTGATCCTTGATGTCGAATGAGAAAATCAATGAATGACTGGTATTTTTTTCAGTTTAAGAGTTTGCTAAAGTCTACTGTTCAACTTATCAACATTGAAGAAAGATTTTACGTCTAAAAATTGAATATCAGAATTTATTACCATGACATGGCTGACAAAAATTATTTCGACGACTTGTGTAAGCTTAAATATTGATACTTTGCATTTGGTTACTGTTGGGTCACATTTCAACTAATTTTTGTTTGTTTTGAAAGTTAGTCACTATTAGCATTACCGTTATGGAATGAACATTTTAAAAGACTAATGTGAGAATAATCAATAGTCAAGCAAACATCTTATTGAAACTTCTTTTATCAGTCCAAATAATAAAGAATGAAGAATATTTAGTACATTAGTGAAAGTGTCCATATCTGTGATAGTACATTTTAATACTGTTTAGTACTTGTGATCCAATCCATTTTTGCCTGATATTTTGACATTGTGTTCGTTATTCTATTTTTGGCAAAATTAACTAGGAGGCATCATGGAAACATTAGACACAAAATGGATTCATATCAAATCCAATAACTGTGAACGAACTGAATCAAGTCCAGCTACTTTAGGTTTAACCAATATGGCTGGTGTATTTATCATGATTGGTATGGGCTTGGCAGCTGGAGCTATTCTGACATTTGTTGAAGTGTTGTGTGCAAAACGTAAATGTGAACAGAAGAAAAAACATGAACTATCCAGTGCAGCCGTACAACAGTGGCGTGATGCTGTGCAGGTAGACTGTTTTTTTTTCTATTTAGCCCTAGCTTCTGTTGAACAGATACATAATTTTTTGTTTTTATTTTCAAGATATCAATGTCGTCAGTTATTGTTCTTCTGGATAATGCACCTAGTTTCTTTTTTCGGAAGAATTATTTTGGCAGAGAAAACCAACTAGTAAACGTTTCTTGTCGTCGACAACTTGAAATGCATTTACAATGAATAGCAGCATTGAAAATAATGAATTGATGAAACTGAGATGAATTATAGTATGTATGAAACACGGAAAACTTTATATGCAGCAAACTGAATTAATGGATTTTTCGAATACTTTCCACTGTATAAATATGCATGGGTTATAGCTTTACCTATAAGTAAAGGAGTGAGTTCCAATCCTTGTCGAACTAACTGACTTGTTGGATATAACACTGTTATATACCAAAAAGAATGAATAAGGGATTGCATAGGATCGTGGTCTAATCGAAGTTTGACATTAATACAATTGAATGCTGACACATTGGTTCAGCCGTTCACATGCAAGTCTGAAGGTCCTTGGTTTTATTTTTGCATACGGTGCCGTGAATACACACTGCTGAAAAGGAAAAGACGGTCCAGTTCTTAGTGGTGATGCCGTAGCCAAGATCATGCTGTAATTTTAATTTTGAAAATACTACGATCTCCGGTAATCCTCTATATTACTACCAATAATATAATTTACACCTTCATTTGTCATTAGCCTTATATACATAGTAATATTCATAGTTAATACATATGACAGAATACGCTGCGAGAAGTCAAACTTGCCAAAGCAAACTCTAATTTCTTTTATGTGTTTTAGAAGCTCAAAACAACAATTCTGTAAAAGTTATTTTAAAAAATGCATAAGCTGGCTGAAACGAAGACAGGGCAAGTAAGTTTCATGTAGAAGCCAAGCTTATTTTCATTGAAATCTTGGACCGATTCGAGCTAGACAACCGTTGAAAACCTGGAAAAACTGTATGGTCATTTCGTCTGAGCATGGGACTCCTCTACGACCTCATAACCGCTTAACATTTAGACCACTGAGCCGAAACCCAATGGTGTGCAAGTTTAACTTCAATCAATCCGCAATATCAGGCAACAATTTCATATCGTCCCAAATGTGTTCCACTGGTCACGGCTTATCACTGGAAGTGAGAAAATTTTCTCAGCAAGCAAAGCAATAATGAAACCAGACGATCTGAGTCCGATCCCCTGTTGTGAGATCGTAGGTCCACACTACTGAAGAACTGTGCGTTAGGTTGAAACAACCGTTTAAAGCTTACAGGTTTTCAAAGATTATCTAACTTAGATTGATCGGTTCGTGATTTCCATGAACAATTTTCACCACCATGAATTGACAAAGTTTTTTTTTAATTTATTACTATTGTTGGTTTCATTCTTGTATTTGTTTTGTTTGATCTCCATCCCTAAGCAATAGTCTTCCTTTTTTTCCACGTACACACCTAGAAACGTCAAAACGACAGATATTTTCTGAACACTGTGGATCACAATACAAAAATATTCCTTGATGATGTCATTCACCATTCAGCTGTTGATGATAAAAATCATTTAAACTCATCTACTGCTTACTTGACTAACAAGAAAAGTAAACAATCGAATAATACGAAACTTAATCATTCGGGGAATATAAAAGAAGGAAAATACTCAATGATAGAAGATGATTTATTGTCAACTAAAGGTCGAATAAATCGTAAACGTAAAGCCAGCGATTACAGCAATGATAATAATGGTGACAATGATATGTTAGACAATTCATTGTCTTTTATTATTCCAACTCCAGAAACTAATTTAAAACTAACAGGCGAAAATTATAGTGTTACTACTTATCGTTGTGATCGAGATGACAAATTTGAGAATAGCGATCCAGATGAGTTGGAACAGGATGAAGAAGAAGAAGAGGAGGAGTTAGGACAGGTAAGTCATGAAGAAGGAGTAGGAGGAGAAGGAGAGTTTACTAAACTGACACATCGTTCCGGTACTTTTACTACTTGTAGTAGTAATAATATTGTTTCAGCTGTCTAACATTTTAGTGGACAAAATCGATAAAAGCTATAGCAGAATAAATGGTCAGTGATTTGAATCCAAGAAGCTATTCTATGCATTAACATATTCTCTTGCTTTAAACAGCATTATTGTCAGTATCATGTAATAAATGTTCAAAGTAATCACTTCTATAGAGTTTGATGCACATTAATCATTCCAGTGATTATTTGATGTTGTTGTCTTTCAAGTGTTTGGTTGCTTTTAAAACACACTCTACAGATTTCTCAATACAAATATCTACTGTCACTCTAGAATTATTGTTTATCTATGTTATTGTAGTTAAATTTGAAAAAAAAAACTAAATAATTTTACTAGCGTTCAATTTATTTAGAAAATTACAATGCTACTTTAATTACAGTTTCCATGTGTTTTGTCTTAGTGCATATTCTAGAAATTTATATATAGCCATATGACGTTTGAAATTCATATGCTTTGTATTCTCTTTAACTTGGCTTTTTCATTACTTCTAAAGATGGCAACATTTGTTCACACTTGTTTCTCTCTGATTTTAATCGTTTTCTGAAAATTAACATGATTAACTTGCTTTCAACTTCATTTGTAAGTTCTTCTCATTTATAACTAAGTTATCTTGTTTTGAATTTATCGTTTGATGATACAACTTTTTCATTCATAGATAAAGAAATAGCTTTATGAAAACTATTCCTGTTGTCTGTCCCGTGAAAAAAGTAAAAGAGTTCATTATTACCAGTAATGAAGATTGTGAAGATTGTTGAATATTGTTGAGATCACATGGAAGGTACAAAGTGAAGACAATGAGAAATGGTAGCGAAACGATGTGAATATTTGCATGTGTGTATGCTTCAACGAATTCATTTGATTTTAAAATTAATCATCCATTTATACAAGTAAAGAAGCTTTTTAAGTAAAATTAAATGGTCGTCAATAGAATAATCTTAAGCAAAATGTGAAACCACACACTTATGAAATTAAATTAACAATAGTTCATTCAGTTTGTAGGAAATTATATTACTGTTCATGATCACTAATGCTAAAAATGTTTTACCAACAGCTTTTTTTCCAGCCAACGCCCTGAAATTTAATGGTCAATATTTCAGTCTTGAAACTAGCGAATTCATAAAGTTGACACTGATATATACAAGAAATATAAACATAAACAGTGACGTATAAGAGTAGTAAGAGGAAGCTGTTTCAAATATTGTGCGTTGACAATTCACGTTGCACTAAACATACAATTTTAAATGAAGCACATTTTATCCAATTTTTGTATTCATCCAACGTAAATCAGCATTTTGTTCTCCCACTTTCTCTAGCTTATTATTTATTACTTAACCATTCTGTTCGCTCTGCTTCTTAATTTCATTCTGATTTGATTTTATGTATTCGATATTCTTTATTCAATTTTAATCATTGTTTTTATCTGTTTATTAGTTAGGTTAGTAGAGGATTTAAAAGTGTTCGTTTTGTCCGACTTAAGAGTCTCATAAATCAGGAACGTGTATTCTTACTACTCAAATCCAGTACACATAGCTCTAAGAATCAGCACTTCTTCTACTAGGCAACTAAGTTATGCTAATGCATGATTAAACAGAGTCTTGAATATCATGACTGAAAAATGCATAGCTCAATGAATATTAACTGGATAATAAACAATATTGTTGATCATCAACTGACTAGCAGTATCAACTTATACAAAAATGTGCTGATAACTGGAAATTTACAGGAATCCTAGGAACGAATATATATCACTACTGAAACCTGTCGCAGAACAATATTTTCTGAAGTGAAATCCAACTGGGCATTGAAAACGCAAAAATCAATAAAGAGATCTCTTTTCTGTAGAATTATTGCCAAAGTGTACAGTTGCATTTGTACATACAAATACTACCGGCATTTTCGATGCAGTTCGTTCGATGATATCGGGAGATGAATTTTGAAGCTTCCATCTTCTTTCTGAACAATATATACATATTAGATATTCTATGAATGTACATGAACTGACCGCTTCATTAAGTGTCCTAATTACGTGTTTTATGTAATTTAAATTATTTTTAAGTGAAGGTACTTACTTACTTACTTAAGCCTGTTACCCCCAATGGAGCATAGGCCGCTCACCAGTTTTCTCCAACCAACTCTGTCCTGGGCTTCCCTCTCCAATTCTGTCCATTGTTTGTTCATTCCTCTCATATCTTTCTCTATTTCTCGGCGTAGTGTGTTCCTTGGCCTTCCTCTATTCCTTTTGCCTTGAGGGTTCCATGTGAGGGCTTGTCTCGTGACGCAGTTGGGTGCTTTTCGTAGTGTATGTCCTATCCACTTCCACCGCTTCTTCCTGATTTCCTCCTCCATTGGAATCTGACTTGTTCTCTCCCACAGTTCGTTGTTGCTGATGGTGTCTGGCCAACGAATACGAAGTATTTTGCGTAGACAACTGTTAATAAACACTTGTATCTTATGGATGATGGCTTTCGTAGTTCTCCAAGTTTCCGCTCCATATAGTAGAACTGTCTTCACATTTGTATTGAAAATCCTGATTTTGGTTTTGTTTGAAAGTTGTTTGGAGTTCCAGATATTTTTCAACTGTAGAAATGCAGCCCTCGCTTTGCCAATCCGCGCCCTCACATCTGCATCCGATCCACCTTTCTCGTCGATGATGCTGCCAAGATATGTAAAGTTGTTAACGTCCTCGAAAGCATCTCCATCAAGCGTGATTTGATTGGTGCATGATGTGTTGCATCGGAGAATTTTGCTCTTTCCTTTATGTATGTTGAGACCTACTGCTGCAGAGGCTGCTGCTACACTGGTCGTCTTCTCTTGCATTTGTTGTTGAGTGTGCGATAGAAGAGCCAGGTCATCTGCGAAGTCCAGATCGTCGAGCTGCGTCCTAACTGTCCAGTTGATACCGTGCTTCCCTCCAGATGTTGACGTCTTCATAATCCAGTCGATGACCAGGAGAAAGAGAAAGGGTGAGAGTAAGCAACCTTGCCTGACACCGGTCTTCACCTCAAACGAGTTTGTCAGCTGACCTCCGTGCACGATTTTGCAGTTGAATCCATCATAAGAATTCCGTATGATGTTGACTATTTTCTCAGGCACACCGTAGTGTCGAAGAAGCCTCCACAGTGTTTTCCTATCCACGCTATCAAATGCTTTCTCGTAGTCGATGAAGTTGATGTAGAGTGGTGAGTTCCATTCAATTGATTGTTCCACAATGATCCGTAATGTAGCAATTTGGGCAGTACATGATCGATCCTTACGAAATCCGGCCTGTTGATCTCGAAGTTGAGCGTCTACGAAGTCTTTCATTCTGTTTAACAATACTCTGTTGAAGACTTTGCCTGGTATTGAAAGAAGAGTGATGCCTCTGTAGTTCTCACACTTGCTGAGATCGCCTTTCTTTGGTATTTTGATCAGGTATCCTTCTTTCCAATCTGATGGTACTTGTTCCTCATCCCAAATCTTCTTGAAGAGGATGTGAAATATTTTTGCAGTTGCTTCTACATCTGCTTTCATTGCCTCTGCTGGAATGTTGTCTGGTCCTGCTGCTTTGCCGCTCTTGATTTGTCTGATGGCCATACTGATCTCCTCAATCGTAGGTGCGCCAATATTAATTGGGAGGTCCTTGGATGCTGCTTCGATGTTGGGTGGGTTCAGTGGAGCTGGTCGGTTCAGTAGTTCCTTAAAGTGCTCTACCCACCTATTTCGCTGTTCGTCAGTGTTGCTGATTATTTTCCCTTCCTTGCTTTTCACTGGTCGTTCTGGTTTACGATAGTTCCCGGCGAGCTTCTTTGTTGTTTCGTACAATTGTCTCATGTTTCCTTCTCTTGCAGCCTTTTCCGCCGTCATTGCTAGATCTTCCACGTATTTTCGTTTGTCAGCTCTGATGCTCTTCTTCACTTCCCTGTTTGCTTCTGTGTATGCAGCTTGTGTGGTAACTTTCTCTGCTCTTGTTCGGCTGACATTCACTGCTGCCTTCTTGTTCCTCCTTTCTTGAATTTTTTCAAGAGTACCAACAGAGATCCATTCTTTGTGATGGTGCTGCTTGCGACCAAGGACCTCCTGACATGTTGAAGTGATTGCCTCCTTAATCCCTTTCCAATTGTTCTCCAATGTTGCTTCCTCTCCATTGAGTAGATCCTGAAAGGCCTGGAACCTATTGGTGAGGGCTATCTTGAATTCGTTGAGTTTTACGGTATCCCGAAGAAAGGCTGTATTAAACTTCTGTGATGTTGTCTGCCCCGTTGTCCAGTGCTTCTTTAGCTTCAATCTCATTTTGGCGATCAGCAAGTGGTGATCTGAAGCTATATCAGCTCCTCTCTTGGTTCTCACATCCTCCATGGTCCTTCTGAACTTTTTGTTGATACAGATATGGTCAATTTGGTTTTGAGTAGTGTGATCCGGTGAAATCCATGTGGCTTTGTGAATGCGTTTGTGCGGGAATATTGTGCCACCGATGACCAGTTTGTTGAAGGCACATAGGTTTGCAAATCTCTCACCGTTTTCGTTTCTTTCTCCCAGTCCATGTCGTCCCATGATGTCTTCATATCCAGTGTTGTCCATGCCAACCTTGGCATTCAGGTCTCCCATAAGAATCGTTAAATCCTTTGGTGAACATTTATCGACGATTGACTGCAGCCTTTCGTAGAATTGATCTTTATCGTCGTCATTGTAGTCGTTGGTAGGTGCATAACATTGGATGACGTTCATTGTAATGTCCTCTTTCTTTGTTTTGAAGGATGCTTTGATGATCCTAGGTCCATGAGATTCCCATCCTATCAGTGCCTTTTGTGCATGTTTGGACAGCATCAGTGCAACTCCTTGTGTATGTGAAGCGTTTTCCTCTTCATGACCAGAGTATAACAGCAGTTCCCCTGAAGCAAGTCTCAGTTGTCCAACCTGTGTCCAATGCGTTTCACTGATGCCGAGCACCTCGAGGTTGTATCTTTTCATTTCTGCCGCAACTTGAAATAGTCTTCCAGTTTCCCACAATGTACGAACGTTCCATGTACCTAAAAAAATGGTTGCTCTGGTTGTCAGAAGAGGCATCGGCCCTGTGACTTCCGAGGGAACTCGGCTTTCATCACGAGACGTCATAATTCTTCTTCCAACTCCCAGGGCAGAGTTAAAATGGTTTGAATTATTTTTTCTGGTTAGCGTTTTTTTGGCAAGTGAGATTTCAACGGAATGGGGTCGCCAACCCCATGTCCAACCCTCCTCCTTTATCCGGGCTTGGGACCGGCAGTAGCCCCTAAGGTTCTACTGGCGGAGTTTTAAGTGAAGGTAATAAGTGGTTATTTGTCTGTTGACGGTATTAGTCAATATAAAATAGACATGTCATCAGATAATTAACCTTGATTCGTTATGATATGCACACCTAGAAAAGTTTGTTCGAATGATAGATAACATATCGTCCAGGTTTTTTATTTTAGTTGAACATTATGGTTGTTGGTCTCAACCCGAATCTTTTAACTTATAAAAATCCTTCTACTAAAACTATGTTTAAGTAGTCTATCACTTGTTAAACAAATTTTCTACTAGCATCGGTCAAGTGATCAGATTGATTGAAGCTAAATTATGAAATAATTTACACATCTAAAGACTGTGACAAACAAATATTTGACAAGAATATCCAACATTCATAACTGGTCAAACCATTGGTTTTTGATATCATGGAGCTCGACAGAATATTAGTTATTTTTCACTAACTATTCATGTTTAAGTAATGTATGAATTTTCCACCAAAATAAGAAAATACAAATTTCGCTAGTAATTAAATGCTGACAAATAAAGTTCTTAACATTTTGGTGGTGCCTGGGTAAACCTAATTCATCAGTATTACGGCCATTATGAGCAGTTGAAAAACTTCTAAAATTTTCAACGAGACGAAAACAAGAGAACAAAGTATATAAAAGTTGTTTAAAAAAGTGATGAGCCAAAATCCAAACAACCAAAATGGACTTTGTTACATGCCAGAACAATTCTCACTGAAAATCCAGTGCTTCAACTACAATGAAATGTACAACTGAATAGATTACACCTATAACAAATTTGTGACTGGTAGTGATTTTATGAATATCAGTAATCTTCAAGAAATGTTTAAATTCATTTCCTCATAAAAAGTTTACACCAAGAATTGGATTTAACTAGAGGAAACCAACTGGAAGTAGATAGCTGTCTTTTCCCCGAATAGGACTTCTTAACAGTCCACATCCTTGTTTTCTCCAGGAATATTACTCTAAATATTCAGTCCTCGCTAACAAACCAGAGTAAATATCTATAAATTTTGGAAAAGTGTTTTCTGCACTTTACGATTGTTAATAATTATTATAAAAATTAGCTGAAAAACAAAATGACACACAAAAGCAAAGACTATTCCTACCATTTCATATGACACCAACACATTTGAAATTTGTAGATAACTTATTCACGAACTTTTAAAACTATTAAGCTTTTTGTATCGCTTTTTCACCTTTTTGCATTACTAAAATTAACAGCCACATCAAAACTCAAGGTAACGTGATTGGAAAATCAATGTTTTAAATACACTATCAAATAAGATGAGCAGTTTCGTTTGGTAAACAAATCAATAAAAATGCAAAACAAATAGATGCTAATTTTATGTTGACTATATCAATATTTAACAAAATTACTGAAGTTACCGAAACAACTGAACTAACAATTCGCTGAGGTAGTTTAGTCCAACCAAATAGAATTTGAATAACAAAAACATTAGCTAGCTGATTGAGAATGCAATCACATTCTTGCATCATTCGAATTAATTTGAGACAGTATGGTTACATGTTAAGTGGTAGATTACAAATAATAAAATGAAGAAGGCTATGAAAAGCACAAAGCAAAACATTTATCTTTACCTTCAACCTGTCGCGAAGACGAACTTTACTAAGAAATCATGTTTGTTTGTTGAAAACATCTGTAGCCTTTCTCACTCACTCGACTAATTGAGTGATCAAGCTATAGGTATTTTTCAGGTGTAGTGCCCCTTGTATATACAATACACAGTCAATTATTATTGGCAGTTTAATCATTTTTATACTAGTATGATCTTGAAAGGACGAACGACATTTTCCAGCAAGTATTGGCTAATTTAAATTGAATTTAGAGTCAGATGAGCTTAAAATTTGAACTGTCCATAACCAATACCTTAAATCGTAAGAAATAAACCATTTTTAGTAATAACTGCACACAAATATGCATTCTTCGCAATATTTTTTGAGTCGTATAGGTTATGTGCCTAGCAAATACACACTGATATCTTTTATTCTAAAATTAACCAATCACAGCAATATAACTTTCATCTAGTAGTCATATCACTTAAACCTCATTGGCTGATCATAATTTCATCAAATTGAAACTTTACAACCTTCATTTTTGGTGCACAACTCATTTAAGTAGAGAGAAAAAAACTAATAATCAGACCAGCATTCGCTCTATGTACACAACAGGAATCTATAGTTAAATTTTTGACAAAATGTGGATGCATTATTAACATTAACATTTATCTACCCCATACATGCTATTGAACTTAAAATGTTATTATTTGAAGGGGAACCAGCTTTATTTTTTCTATTCATTATATCCACATTGAGTTTATTAGTTGGCGGCTGTTTATGGGGATCAGGTGAAGATGAAGGTGCATTAACTAAAATGACTATTGGCATTGTAATATTCACTGTAGGATGTGCTACAACTGTAGCATTTTTTGTCACATACACAATAAAACAAATTAGAAAAAAACGAAAACACAAAAAAGAAATTGAACGTATTTTACAATTACAAGAAGAAGTCAATGCATATGAAATATATAAACCACGAATGAGTGCAGTCATTAATCAAGGATATGATAATCAAGGTATAGATAATGATGAACGAATAACAAAGCTTTAATTTTATTTATATACATACATATAATTTGTACAGTATGTACACTTATGTGATTCGTATTGCCAACGTTGAACATTTTGTTAGTAGTAATATCATTCATTATCTGTCGATTGTGTTATTTTGCTCTCTTGATCTTCCGCTGACCAGTAAATACTTTCAATGGAGATATGAAATGGCTATAATTGTAATAATTGAAATTTTATCTGTGATAAATTCCTTAATTTAGGATCTTAATTATTTTCAAGAGACAGTTTGTTGTGAATCGTTACTGGAACATTCATGCTTACCGTAATATGCATCTTCGTTGTGAGTATTTGTATTGATTTCCAGTGAATGAAACGATATATATATATATATATATATATATATATATATATATATATATATATATGTCTGTTGTTTGAGATATACTTACAGTCTATGGCTGTGATTCACTTACTTATTTAATGATTTCTATTTTGATTTAACATTTATGAGATATAAAGTTGGTTTTTTTTCAGTCATCAGTGTTATTTCTTATAAAAACAAGGCAAACCGGCATATAACATTGATAGCTAGTCAGAATTATTTGTCGTGTTCCATTTGAATTTTTGGTGAATGAATCCTGCGATTACCACAATCTTAAAGTATAAGAAAACATTCCAAATAAACACAATCGTAAATGAGAATCTCCAGTCACGACTAAACGTGTCAATTGCTTCAAACTTATGTTAATAAGGTAGTATTAGTTACCAAAAATTATTTAACTTCTGAGTGAATGAGAGATATATTCTGTTTATGTTTAATTACAAACATGTGACTGAAAAAAATACAACCAAAGTTGGTGTGAATTTCTTTGAAATGATCAGCTTGCTTGTCTATTCAAATTATTAGTTAAAGCTATCATTTTTGAATAAGGTGATGGATGGCTTGGTGGTCGCTAAGTCACGAATTTCATCAATCAGGCTATTAATGAAATAGTTTTGACAGTATATTTAAGTATTGCAATAATCTTTGGTTTTAGAAGTGTTGTTAGAAAGTGAATTATGTAACCAACTTATTCACAACTTCATGCACTACCCAACCTAAACGATCAATAAATTTCCGTAGATACTCATCGTTCTTTGAACCTTTTTAAACATAAATTAGCTTCGATTTGAGTATAAGAGCAGCATTTAACTTTTCTGTTCTGTGAAGCAACGCTTTGACCAGTGACTTGACCAAAGCTTTTCAAATTCAGACAAACTGTATTCCATATGTCCTTTCGATAAATTGAACATTGAATCGTGCCATCCTTCCGTTGTATTACAGTATCATAAATGTGGAACTTATTCTCATTTTCACGGTACATAAGATATTAGATATTTCTATAAGCCTCATTCAAAAGATTCAGTAGGTGTGTTGGATTATTGCATACTAGGGAACTGTAGTCAACATGCCTCGAATAAGACACCATATTGTCTATTTCTCATTTAAGCTCGATGTTTACTAGCTGTTTGCTGTGAGAATATATGCCATGATAAGATATAACAAACTTCCATTGCTGCACCTTCAGGATGTTGGCATATAGTGTTACCAAACTGAAACTGAATATCTTTTTTCGCAGATAATTAGCAATCGTTTGAGTTTTCATACCAACAGATATCAAAATGGTAGCGAATAGTGTTAATATTCTCAGGAAGCCGATATTTAGTTAAATAAAGATGTTGTATCAAAAGAAACCATTAACTGAAAGTCAATATTTATATGGTTCACAATGTCGGCAAATTGATACAAACCGTTTATTCCAAAGTTGCTGTAAGATGAAGTGACCATTGGTAAAATAAGCCTAAACTGGATATCTCATACAGATTTGATAAAAAACACACATGGTACGAATGAGAGACATGAGATTCTACTTCATTATAAGAGGAATTATCAAGCATTTACTTCCTCAGAATTTTCCCTCAGACAGCCTTGATCCTATTTCCTGTTGAATCAGCTAAGTCCTTACTATTTTTATATATCTTGGATCTTTAAAAATGGATTACATGTTAGTGACATAAGCAGATAAGTTCATGAGAACAACACCTGAACTTCTATATGATAATAATATCATCACTTTGTCCTTTTACTTCTTTGGAATCTAAATCCCGACGATAAAGCTTCCATTTTTATCTGATTTAACTTGACGCTAGATTGGATATAAATTAGTTTTACAGAGTTTTCCTGCATCCAATATTCAGAATATTGACCATCTCTCACCGAAGGCACTAATCTCTGTTCTCCAAATTCCGATAAATAACCTAGTCAATCGAATATGCAATTTTATGGGATGGAGAAGAGTAATAAGTGAATGTAGGAGTTTACATCAGGATGAATTCAGATATGAGACAGACAACTAAAGTTTAGCCACTTTTTGCAATGATTTTGTATCGTACTGTCATAGAGCGATTCAGTGACGTGTATGATTGTGTGTAGAAAGAGAGAGAGAGATTTTCACCAATTTCAGACACACATTTACCTTTATTATTTTTAAAGAGAGAAAAAGCAAATATTTAAGTTGAACAACATGAATTCATTTTATTTCTCTAGATGATCGATCGTACGCCTCTTACAATTCGTAATAGTTTAATATTCTAGTTAAACTTCATTACTTAGTTAAAAAAAACTATGAGCTTTATCATCCATCGTTAGTTAGTTTTTCGATGTTCTACAGTTTTTTCCTCTTATACAGTATCTCCATAAAATACTTTTTTGATCTTATTAACTTTCGGAGAAATTTTGTTCTGTCATGATGATTTATATTCACTGCTGACAAAGTTCACTTGTATAGGTGTTTTAACAAGAAATATCATGAGTTGTTCGTAGTTGGCAACAATCCAACGAAAAAAAAAACAAATTTCATGTTGTTCTCCTCAAATCTCTGTGTTCACTCGCTTTCATTTTGACAGAAACTGGGTGAAAGGTGTATTGCAGACACTAAAAATATAAATTCTATTTGAAAGAATCCCACCGATTGTGAATTGTAAGTGGAAATTTATTACTACTCTGAATAAAGCATGTAGTTGCATTGATTAGAACTGATTGTAAGATTTAGAAACTTTGTACAATTCTCTGTAATCTTCCTACTTCATAAAACATCGAACCAAAGTTATTCCAAGTGTCATATTCTATAATGGTTGAGTCGAAATATAATATATTTGCGTATGTCTTTGAATACATTCAAACAACATTCATGACAGCTAATCTCTGAGCATCCAATATATGTTTTACGTTGAGTAATTAAAAGGAATCACTGGGGAACTCTGTTGACCTCGTCTAACCACTTCATCTCTCATCATAGTGTAGAGGATATTTTGCTTAGACTATATACCACATTGTAAGATGGTACTTGATCAACATTAAGGGGACTGGGCTAATATTGTATTGGTCATTAATCATTTGTAGTTGTATTCTACGCTTGAGGATTTTATTCAGTTGAAGATGTCTATTGTCTCTGTTGTCTGTTAGTATAGTAATTAGTTAGCATTAGTAGTTAATTTTATCGTGAAGAATTGAAATCATGTATTCATCCTCCGACAAGTAACTATCAAGTAAGTATCTCTAACCAACAGAGTTCAGCAATATTTCAAGTCATTGGGTTGCCTGCCAGAAAACTGGCTGAAGTTCCAAATATGAACCACTGAATGCTGAATTCATAGTCTATAAGTTAAGTGATCACTGTAAGTTTCAAACTTCCTTAGAACCGAAATAGTTACCCGTTTTCTTTTTGAGTTTTCAAAGGTTGCTCAATTCAGATCCGGTCATGATGTAGACTATAAAATAATCATCTGATTAACAGTGAATCTATCTCATATGATAAATATCACCTGCTTAAGAAAACCTTTTAAATCTTCAGATAAAATAAGGAATTTTCGTGGTACAATGATTCAAGAAATGATATCTAGATGATGATTTTTCTCTTTATCTCTCTTACTAATGATTCTAAGACCAACTACAATAAGTTAAGTAATACATCTAATTTTTATAAATGAAATTAGGCAACATGAGTTTGATCCTGCTAAAAATTTAACATCGATAGTCAATGGTACAATACAGCAAAACAGAAGATGAAGTGTATGGCTAATAAATCTGAAATTATTTTCTTGCATTTTTGCTAGCTGAAGTAAAATAGTAGTAATAGAAGTGTATTGCTGATAGGATTCAGTGAGCAAATAACTGAAAATCTAATAAACCACTTATTTATTAAAAAAAGTTATTAATAAGAGTCTATATTGTGGTGCGCGCTACTTATAAGTAGTATATGACGCGAGTAAAAACGTAATGTCTGGCAGCAGAAGATGGGGGAAGATCAAGAAAGGAAGAGTGGGAACACAATGGAATTTCTATGAAACGCATGAACAGTGTAATGTCAGACAATGGATTGATGTTTTGCAAATTAACGATTTACGATATGGTTTTCCTTTTTTACCGATTAACTCTGTAATTTTCGTTAAATACAATTCGGTTGCCCTCACCTGTGTTCTCCTTCACTACAATATTACTGGTTGGACTTATTTTATTTATTGTTGCGCTAAATTTAGTCTTGAATTATTTTGTTCCCTAAGTGTTTGGTCTCTTTTATTTACACGTCGTTCTAATGAATTCATTTGCATGGCTATTATGCTATTTCGATTCATTTTTAGACAGAGTAAGTTAATAAATTAACTCTACTGATTCATTTGAAATGTATATCATTAATCTTGACATAACATTTATCATCTGTTGGTATAAGTTTGAAAAAAATTGTTTTTCCGATCAACTGTTTGCAATCAATTTGAAATTTGTCAGCTTTTAGCTGATTAGCGAAACATTCTTCGTCAGATCTGCACGTTTTCAAATCAAATACATATCATTTGCTTTGTGTGGTCAGTTGGGCTATTGGAAAAGAGAGCCAAAACGACTGATTTTTGTTTCCTGTTCTGTCACTGCAATCATTAATCAACTCAATCATGTCATTGTGACGTTGAATTTCGGTCAAAATTCCATGTGCCTTATCTTCCATGTTGATAAAAACCTACCGGCCAGCTTATGAGTGTCTCCTAATCTCAATAATTCCTTGTTTCGAAGTCAAGTGGCTGGGGCATCAACTATGATATACACATTATCTAACAGTGACTTTCAAAGAAACGAACTTAAGACTTACGAGGAGGATCAGTCTCTTCAAAATTATAGATATACAACTCTGAGAAGTACAACGAGACCTAGCTTTGAAGTCAGTTACTTCAAACCACAATGTATCTAATGTGATGATGGAGTTGTTATTAAATTAAAATTGACTTACAAAAAACACATCGCACATGCAAACATATCACACTACTTATTTAACCGATTACTCTTGTCACAATGATTTTCATGCATATTTATATCATTTGCCATACACTGATGATTAGAAAATCAATAATATCATACATTTGGAAAAGCAAACCATTTTTTCTATTCACAACTACTCCTGACCAGTCATTATAGCTTCTTTTCATTTTTCATAGCGAGAATCAATTACCTATTGTACACTGTGACTGTCCATAATTTCGTGTTAGGCGTTAGCGTAGATAGATACAAGCAAGCATCAATAAATATAGTATAATTAACTAATGCATAACGTAAATATTTCAAAATCTCTAAATAAATAATCACTTCAATCTGCTTGTGTTTTTTTGTTTTTAAAAAAAATCATACCTAAACAATCAATCAATACGTAATATTATCGATAACACAAATCTAATCAATATTTCACTCATTCTATGTCGTCTTGACGGTGTGCTTAAAATATTAAGATTTTGAGTGAAACGTTTAATTGATTAAACAATGAATGTTTGCACGGCATTAATTGAATTCTTTAATGGTGTTACACCATCCTGATAGAATTGATTAATTTGGTTAAGATTTTATTAATTTTCTTAAAAACACACACAAATTCAGCATGACAGTTCAGAATGACATTTGCATATTTTATGAAAGAGTTCCTTACAGCTTAATTGTAATGCTTTTAATAATGGATAGTATTATTAGTTATTAGCTCAATTGTAACTCAGGCAGAAAATTCCAATGAAATCTTAAGTATTTGTTTGTACTGATTTTAGTAAGACAAAACAATTTTTTGGTTCTTTTGATTCTCAAAAGTCGTCTAAATAAAGCTAGCGTATATTGTTGATCATCAACAAATTATTGAGTGCTGAATGCTTGCTTAACATAACCGAATGAGTAAATACGAATGACGTCAACTTTATCTAGTACGGTAAAATTATCCACCTTAGTTAGTGAACAATAGTTATACAGTATAGTGAAACGGTTGAAGCTCGACATGTACACTGCGGCATGCCAGATCGAAAGTTTAGAGGTCAAACATTCTGGAGCTAAACCGAATAAGCTGTGTTCTGTTCCTTGTGTTAGGGTAATGGATACCAGACCTGTTTGCTGAGCAGTATCATACCTGAATGAAATAGTTGTTCAGTGCTCCCTGGTTTCCAATGACCATCCGGCATACATCAGTTCATGATGACTGAAGGGGATTTTCAGTATTCAATAAAACTGTTGTATCTTGAAGGCTTGTCAGTTTTTCCGTTCATTTGGTACGTGAACTTTGAATTTTGAAACGTAATTCTCATAAGACATTTCATTTCATTCGTCTAGAAATATTGACAGCTGTGTGGAATGAAAACGATGGTATAGCACAGTCTGACATGCCAAAAAAGCACAAAGATAACAAAAGTCATAACTTGGAATAAAATCTTCAATGAAAACTATGCTCTAATTTACAAATCGCATCGACTAATTGAGCAGAAAAGCGGCTGAAAAAGCTGGCTGCAACATCCTTATTGAATAGAAAAACGCTGAAGATGAACTCAATCGTAAATTACTTAAAGGCTATTTTGTTACTAGGTACTGTTACATTTTATCGCATCTAGTTCGTAAAATTCATGGATAGTTAATGTCACTCAGTTACAACTTAGCACTTCGTACGCACGTACATGGGACAAAGTTGCCATGCCACATTAGCACAGAGACGCAATTTTCACTTCAAATCCCATAGTTGTAGAGGTAGCAGAAGTATTAGCAATAATCAAAAGTATTAAAGATCTAATATATCACTCGAGATGTATACCCCAGAGGAATCGATTAAAAAACAAGAAAGAAAACGGCCATGAGGAATTGAGACTAATAACATTTGAGAGAATACAAAGTATGGATGCACCTGCTACATTGCAAACGGTTTTGAGTCATGTCATTAAAGGTCTCTAACCATCGATCGCTATCATCTCGCGGACCCCAACCAGACAGTTTACACTTGCCAAAATGATTCAATCCATTTTTCAGTGACTTCATGGATTTGTGCCATGTTTTAGCTTGATCGCTCCTAGCTTTCTTCCAACCTACTCATACATCCCATTATATATATATATATATATATATTTGATTGTCAACTTATGCGTTTATACATGAAAAAATACCACCGCGAAACGTAGCACAATTTATACACTTCTATAGGCACATAACTAAGGATGCTTTTATAAAAAAAATTGTGTAGCAGATTTACAATAAAGTAAAGTGGATCTGAAGAGCATTAACGGTTAAGACTACGGATCATATTGTGGTGCGCTACTTATAAGTAGTATATGACGCGAGTAAAAACGTAATGTCTGGCAGCAGAAGATGGGGGAAGATCAAGAAAGGAAGAGTGGGAACACAATGGAATTTGTATGAAACGTATGAATAGTGAAATGTCAGACACTGGATTGATGATGGATTGAAGATTTGCAAATTAACGGTTACGATATGGTTTTCCTATTTTACCGATTAACTCTGTAATTTTCGTTAAATACAATTCGATTGACCTCACCTGTGTTCTCCTTCACTACAATATTGATACGGCATTAATACGGTGGACAAAAATAAGCCTGATTATGTGACCTTAAATCTGCTGGTTGATAAAGTGCCCACTAAACTCACATCAAACTCTCATCAACATAAAATAAATTTAGTCATGCATTGTATATTCTGCATATAAATATGTCAAAATGGCCATTATTTGCCTGAAAAGTTATTCTTTTTTTCTGATTGATCTGCGTTCTATGTGATATTTTGACTATAAATTCGGATCACCCATTCAACTGCATCGATCTCATTATTTCAATTGGTCGATCTCAGATTCCATAATTATACGAACCTATAAAGACCGCAGACATGTTATAAAGTTTATCCTTAGACCATTAAGTCATACAAACCCCTAGCTTGGAACACTCGAACTAATTCATAATATTCTTCATATATGAAGACGACTCCAGACTGTATTTCAAAAAAAAAACATACAAAATCAATAGTCGAAATAAACAGATGTCCAACCCTAAACTGATCCATACATTCATCAGATATAATGAAACTGAACAGTGTGAACTTAAAAAACAAGAGTACTTACTCTATAATCTTTCGCAAACTATTTGTTGACTTTAAACAGTGAGAGACTGATCAAAAAACCCTATAAGTATAAAAGGATTTAATTATCAGAGAAGTAAAATGCTCCGTATTGTTTCATAACGAATAATCACAATCAAACAACAAGTTTATCTTTCTATGTAAAATAACTTCTTCATTTAAAGGTTTATGAATATGAATATCATAATGGTTATCAATATAATTAGTCCAATAACTATTAAATTCAGCATGCATTTATGTTGTTTCAATTTAGATAGATTGGATTTTCTATTGACCTTCTTAAATTGTCTTGCCTGAAAGAAAAATAACATAAATCAACAAATAACTGAGACATTGAGATCAATAACTGTTTCAGAAATGTGTAAATACAAATGATTAAATGACTAATGGTATAATGGATCTGTGGAAATGGTTGCATTTCACCTTTTTGCATCACACACTGAGCTTAGATAATCATTTATCAACCAGAAAACGCCAGATATTTGTTTTGTCCTAGTATGGAACTTCTTAGCAAGTGTTCACCCTCAACCCTATCACAAAAGGCCTTGAGTACCATTCCAAGATGATATGCGATTGGAGATATTCGACAGGATACCATAAACCTGTCCTTCGCGCTAGTCGGTACTCATCAGTAAGGGAAACCAATGATTTCGAGGGAACTAATGCTCTATGTTTGATCCGGCACTGCATTGTCCGGTCCACAGTCTGAGACGTAGAACTTAGATTTTTACATTGACTGATTAATGAGTAGCATTTTGAATAAGTTGACACTTGAATTGGTATGATAAAGCATTCATAGACGAAGAATTATCTGGATTTACTAACATAGTTTATCTGAACTGGAATAATCAAAACATCGGCGCATCGTTTTCAAATGACTGACATTCGTTTTATCATTTTTCTTTTCCGCGTATTTTAAATTTTACTCAAATGTTATATTTATCTTAACACTTTTTACTAAATAGTTCACCTAATACCACACCTTTCGCTATCCTTGTTTTCATACGTATCCAGTTTTAATGTATGCAAAAATTCATAACTGTTTTATTTAACTGTTGGTATTGAGCTGATCTTCTGAATTATTGTATGAAGGTCAGCCTCAGTTACTATGGTTATTTCAGTGAACTTTAAAACAAAATTCCATTGACCATAGTAACGTGAACATTAATAATAATAATAATAACAATAATAATAATAATAATAGTGGTTATTAGCATCAGTTACGCCTTGATTGGTAATCCATTAGGAATCGTAACTATTGATAAAATTGAAATATATAAACTGTGTTCTCCTCTGGCCATTGTTATCACCTGAATGATTGAGTGATTTGTTCATAAAGTTGGACAGTATTTTAATATATCACTGATTCTGTAAGTGTGCTGTTCACTGACTCGTAAAGCTTACTCTGTCCTTCTAAACAACAGTACATATGTTCTATTTTTTGAAGCTGATGATTTCGTCTGGGGAAACACTGTAAGCGTTGAAACTAAACCATTCTGCTCAAAGGACAAAACGACTTTCAGATCCTCATCTTGAGTTACAAATATTCTCCGAGTCTCAACTGGATCGAAATATCTGTATACTATCAATCAATTTTAACTCCAGTAATAATTCTTTACAAACTCAAGTAAGAATAGATTTTAGAGTTGTATCCTTATACAAGAAATAGTTATCAACCTATAATGAATCTTGACAATATTTCAGCCTTCTTGGCTAACTACATGGAGTAATAGTTAGAATAACATGCATTGACAACAGTCTGGTCATTGACAAATGTTTGTTGAGTTCGGAATCAATAACACTCATTAACTGATAACACCTTGCACTATAAACGTAAGTGACTCAGTTTTTGGACCTCATATGGAGCACTAGTTCCGTTCAAAATCATCGGTACCCTTTGGTAGCAGGTATTATCTAGCCAGAACGTAGGCTTATCGTTTCTTTTCTACTACTTACAATTGTATAACATCATTATAATTCAAACTACATTGATTGGCATCCAAAATACAAGTTCATCGATAAAATTCGGTTGACGCTAAGCATTAGTCAAACAAGACATTGGCCAATAATCAATGATCTTTTCATACGAATTCAATCGTTTCATATCTATGGTTTATGAGAAATAGCTTCTTTCACCACAAACAAATTGACAGCATGACAAAATCAAAAAAACACTTCTGATTCCTCAACAGATAAACGTCATCGGTTAAAAGTTAAGATTTAGAAAACACTGGACGTGGAGTATTTTCTATGCATAACAGTATTTCATGATTTTGGAATTGGTTGTTTCATGATAAGTACGTTCAGTTTTCATTTAAGTAGTCATAGATCCGAAACTCAATTTACCCTCTGACTTCAGAAACCAAACAGTGACTTAAACCCCACATATACATCATATGTGTTCATGGTCGATGAATTAGATCCCGTCACTTTTAGACCTGATTCAATAAACCTTAGAAACCAGAAACCCTTCAATAAATTCAACAGCATATACTATCTTATTTTACACCCCTACTGATACCAGTGAGTAATTGAAACGGTTTTATGATTTTTATTCAGTTATGGATAGTATTTCCTAAAATAAGCGATAATCCATCTGTGAACGGTCATCGATGATTGAAAAGTAAAGCCAAGGGGTAGGAAGAAGAAATATTATATGATATATTGAAAATTTTACTTCATATATAAAATAAATAAACTTTATCATTAGTTCCTATCTCAATTAATACTCGGGAGATTATAAAATTCACTGAGACGATACTGAGCTTCAGTTTCGCAGTATTTACCTAAGAATTTATCATAGAAGGAACTTCGGGTTTACAGAACTCAATGAAAGAAAATTATCTGCTAGTTATTGAGCGAAACTCAAAAAAATTGACTTTTACGGCACTTATCATCTGATTTTGATATGTCATTGTTTTTTGTGTATCGAGCGGTCTCCCTGTAATGAAAATACGCGACTTACATCAAGTGTAAGTGGTAAAATCTATTCAGAAGACTAGTAGGAAAAGGTTATTGCCTAAGGCTGGATAATTGTGCAATTATTGATTTTCTGTCGAACCTCCAAGACTTGTCTTCAGATTCAAATAAGAATGAAAGGCAGAATAAGTTCATCAGACTAGTTAGCTATAGTGAACTAAGATACCGAAGTTCAATAGTAGGTCCCTGTATGATTGCTAAAATAGCTCACAATGAACAATCAGATTATCCAACAATCAAGTAGTCAACATTCGCGTTGATTACTTCAATTAAACAATAAACTATGAGCACTCCTCTTTCAGTGATAGACCCTAGATGATGATAAACCATTTGGAAGTAAGTTAGAAATTGAGGTTAGAAGTGATTACTGATCTGATAATTTAGTGTTTGGCGCTTTCCAGGCCTTCTTAAAATTATGTCGACCTGATTGAAAAGGCACAGAATTATCAATTGAGACTGATAAAGTAATAGATAGATAGATAGACATTGACTATTTCTACCCAGGTCTAAATGCTGAAGGATCACTGAGATTCAATGTGTAAAACATCGGCCAAATCATCTAAGTAGTTTTTATCCATAACTTAATAGAAGCTTAAAATTGTCAAAGAGGGCCATATTAATGAAATTATGAACCGGTCGATGTTAGACTGGAAGTATTTGTCAGCCATTTCCACCTAGTTTATGACCTATCAGCAATGTGCATCGATGACCCCCCACGTAGGAATTGCACCCAGAACCACCAGTCTCTAGAGTGGATGCTTAACCTATTGACCACTGTCATGGAATCCAGTGTTGTTATTGTCTAACTCCAACCGATCTATGGTGCTGTGCAACATCATCCACTGTCTTCAATAGGTCTTAATCACATCCGACAGGGTTTTGCTCCACAACATTTTACCAAAACCTCAGAAACTTCCTTTCGACGCTAGTCACTTACTAGTGGGCATGTGATAATTAATTATCAGCATACGGCTATTATTTTGCTTATTATAATGATTTATACTCAAATAGTTACTGTTAAGATTCAAAAGAAGTCATAATTACACTTTTGACATAAACTCATTTAATTTCCTCGCTACAAGCACAGATTGAGACGGAACCTTTGCTAACACAAAGCGATTATTAGACAATAAACCAATTAAACAAAGCAATCACATGAGTATAATTTCCACAAAACTCAATTCTTTGTTATAGAGAAACAGGAAATTTGAATCAACCACCTGGAACAATAAATAAATGCATATAAAACTAATTCAATTAGTTTTCAAATAACCAAATGACTGGTTACAAGCGACAGAGATAGATCAAGCGGAAAATATTGATTGCAATATTCAACTAGATTAATCGATCAATAAACTAAATGAGTATGATTAACAGCTGAACAAATTTTCAATTCACTTCACCAAAACTGGTTAATTATATTCAGGTCAAATATGAAAAACATGAAATCAGACAAGTTGAGTATTTAAAAATGGCCTACTTCTTTTTCTAGTTAAATAAAATCATTTTCTTCATAGAACACGTACTGGAATTTTTTACAATTAGATTTCATGAATTTCTAAATGATCATTTCCGACTGTCATGATACTAATAGTAATAATATTAGTAATAGCTTGATGATAAATCCCTGATTGCAACGAACAGAAAGTAATGGTTCTGTACTTGGTGCTCTTTTGGTATTTGTCAATTAAATAAGTTAACAAACGAGCTTAATCAAATTGAAGAATGTAACACAAACTCGATTAAATGTGAGGTGTTGCAAATTGTACAAAATGTGCTAGCTAGTGGATATTATTGGACTGGATTTCAAAGTCTACTTTTGAATAATGAATAACTAATTAATCAACTGCTTGCCTTGCAACTATGATCCCTCTAAAATCAAACCTGTTTTACGAACTTCACAAAAAGATAACACCTTAAATCTGAGTTATCCAATATCATAGATCTAACCGCAATCAGATGGATTAGAAACGGTTGTTTTGATCCAATCTATTTTAGTTTATCAATTCAATGTATCAATCAATATATTTTTAGCATAAAGCTGAAAAGTCCACAAATTTTTTAATTTGATTGGTAATAACATGAACTAGTTAAAAGATTTATTTGGTTATTCACCAGTGAGTGATTCAGTGTACACAAACATTTCATTCATCTGACTCATTCTAATAAGTTTCAATTGATAACCATTGAGTCACGAAGAAAACAAAACAAATCCTTACAATATTTGGGTGTTTCCGTAAATTCGCAGGGAGATAATCGTGCTTAAAATTTACTACTCAAGTACGCCTACTATTCGATTTTGTCACTAGTGGTCAACTGATAGAACTTATGACTATTATTAATTTCAGTCAAGATAGATTGAGTCACAGGCGGTTGTTCTGCACTAAAGAGATGAAGTTTTAACATCTTATAAATAACATTTCATAAAGATCAAACCAAAAAAAATTGGTAATCAACAGCGAAGCTTTTTATAGGTTAATAAAATATGTGACTGCTGAAAGTGTACAGATGATAGTCAAACATATGTAGCCTTCAATTTATTTCAAGAGTTTTGTATTTAGATTTAAATAGTATTTAGTGTGGATTAATGTGTAATCTTATTATGATGTCTAAAATAGTCAACCTGTGCAGAAAAACACGAAATTCTACCTGTATATCTCAACATCAGTTATTATATCTTTTGAGATCAAAGTTATATTGTGCTGTTGTTTTTCATAAATGTCAAAAGGTTTATGATCAAATACACTTGAAGGTTTCAACTAGAGATTTGTACAGTGTAAAGATAATGTCTGTGGTGAACTAATGTCACCTGGATAATTATTGAATTTCTGGTACACTGACTAAATATTTACTCCTTCGGAAACTCTTCTACGATCCTTAATTATAACCTCGAATTGGATGCGGTACAGAATTCTCAGAATGACTACACTTTGGAAATACACACCAATCATTGCTTACCAACCCAATAGTCTAATGTATAAGGATATATGGGAATCCCTGATTACGGTCATGAAGAGGTCGTGGGTTCACGCTGCTATGATACAATGTGGTAGGATGGGAGAATTGTTCAGTGACTTGTAGTTTCCGATGGTAACAAATATCACTTGACAACGTTCAAAAGACGATCAGGAATCATAATATAACTCCCTGAAGACAACTCTTATCATTCTTGAAATAACCGAATTTCTGTTAATAACAGTTCTACTATTAAGTGTCAGGATGATTGTTGTCTGAGTTAAATCTCATATAAATTAAACCAGTAAACGAGATTACTTCTGTTAACACAAAAGATCTAGTTCAAGGTCTCTAAAAAATTTTTCTGGTCAGAATTAAGCTCATTAAATCTGAAATTTATAATGATGTACAAGTTTGACAGATAAAAACAATCTCTTTTAAGGACCAGTCTTAGTTTTGTTATGTTTCAAAGCTCACAATTTATGTTATAAACAGCTTTAGCTACTTACAAGTAGTTAAACGCTAAACTTAGAACTGACAAATTATGAGAGTTGGATGCGAATTTAGAAAAGTAAATCTAACTTGCGCTATTTTACTCATTAATTGATTGTATTTACCGTGTGAACCGAAGCAACTTGAACTTAGAGCAGCAGCCTGCCCCGTCGACAAATGAGTTTGTCAACAATGTCTGTCCAAAGATGTTCATAAACCTTGCAATTTTTCTCAACTCTAGTAATAGTGTTCAAATTGGAGCTTATAAGTAACTTTCATCGGAATAATCAATATAAAGTGGAGTACTTCATGGTTACCCATTACCACCTCTTTAAATAAATTGCCTTACAATAAAATTAATTTCACTTTTCCTTCGAGAAATCATAGTGCGTTCATATAACTTTTCAGAAATCGACTCCCCATAGAGAGATCCACGTATAGATTTGGAACACACATACAATAGTCTTATTAGGTAAGGATGGTGGCATAACGCACAGTCTTCATTTCGCCTTGAACACAAATGTATGAATTTCTCCCTCTTAATGCACAATATTGCTCCACAACTCTTCTTCCTGATCGCCTAAATTGATCATGGGGAATAGGTCATCAAAAGTTATCGATTATTGCGTCTATCTTGGAGGTTTCATCAATGTGGTGGTTAATATCCAACAAAATCTAAGGCTAATTATAAAGGTGAACTGGCTTTTGACAGTATATATCTTTAGTGGATTAGGTAAGATGTCTGTCAACTCAAGTAAGATATGTTGATAAAATGATGTTTATGAACTACCATTTTCCGAAAGAAGCGTTTGTTGAAGAAACAACATCAGAATTCAAACAGCTTGAAACAACAAACGGATGTTTATTCTTATTTCGTGAATTCATACGAGTTCACAATCATAACCCAATACAAAATCGCAAAGATTTGCTGTTCCTTGAAGAGCCTGTTGGCTTCTAATCAATGAATGAAAATCCAATCGTACCACATTTAAAACTTTCATAAGTTTATAGTGTAAAACAAATTTTATCTAACATAATCAGAAAGTTACTGCTTCACTCCTTTATAGTTCATTAAGTCTATAAGTCACAACTGAGAATTTTAGCTTCTGGAATTACATCTTGAAATCAGTCACTAATGCCCATTTGGGGTTAGGCACATGATGAAAAGAATCATGAAATCAAACGAAGTCTCCGTTCAACCACCTTAACGAAAAACTAAATCATCAGTCATTAAGTTTATGCATAATAGATTTACTGTGATGTTAAATCAGTCTCATTACTTGCAGTTTGGAGACAGCTTGATATTTTCAATTTTCAACAAATTTACTATAAACCTGTACAGATTCCATTAAATATTACTATATATATATTACTATATTTCATTTAATATAACCTATCACAATGATACCTGTATATTGTTAACAGAAGTAAACAAACTGACTCATCATAATACTCTACATTAACGATCAAAATACCACTTCAGCACTCTAATAATAATAATAATCGATTTCGGTTCAGTTTGTCTTATTAGCAGTTTCTCTACAATTTTCTTGATTAATGTATGTATTTGCATAGAAATGATATATATAAAGGTTAACAGGTTACTTACATTTTTTTCCATTGCTTCGGATCTTTCTAACAGTGTGATTAGTTTAGCTTCATGTTGATTAAGTTCTATACAGTTTTTGTACAAAATATTTTCTATATCGATAATTGTTTGATTTAAACAACTGAAATTATCTCCTGGAATAGTTGTTCTTGTCATTGTCGAAGTAGTTGCAGTAGTAGTTGTAGTAGTAGTAGTAGTAGTAAAGGGCGGCTTTGAAGTAGAACTCTTCATACTTGATAACTGAATATCCGCATCGTGACTAGTATGACAAGGTGTGCGCACATTTGTCATTTTTTTATGGATATCTATTTCCAAAAACCTTTTCAGCAATCTGACTGTGGGTAAGTACTCAAATGATATCAGAAGTCGGACTGTACATGCATATAAGTAATTATTATAATAGTAAACGTAACTTAGGATATTTGTTAACGATCCGTGTTAAATGCTGGTATATAAAGGTTTACTGATTAAAATTAAAAAAATTGTTACTCTATCACAGGTTTTTCAACATATATATATATATATATATATATATATATATATATATATATATATATATATATATATATATAAAATTACTAAATTAACATTAGGACATTTCATGCTTTTTGTACCACAATGTTGTAGTCAGAGACAACTGAGTTATTTTACTGAAACAAAACAGACACTATTTAAATATTTAGACAATTAAACTGGTATGTTTTTAAAGATATTGTTTATACAATAGTTCTATTGTTCGATGTTTATTTAATTTGTGAAGGTTTCCGAACATGTCTGATTAAAAAAGGCTAGGTTGATGTTTCAGTTTTACACCTAGTTAGGGATCTTTTATAATGACAGATAATCATACATATCATTAGGTTAAATAAACTGTATATCAAGATGAACTTTCTTAGAAAAGCCAGTCTTTGAATTAAAATATAACAAAATCATTTGATGGTTTGCGGTCCTCTAACTTTTTCACTGAATTCAATGAGATAGTAACAAGGATAAAAAGATTTTCTTGTTTACTCTTCTTACATTGAATTGACAGTGTATAACAACCACGATCTCTATTAAACATACTGGTAAAACTGGGCAACTCAGTATGATATTTAATCTGATAATCTCTTTTATTGTCAATACTGTAATTTCTACTTGTCTAGAATTTACGTCGAAACGACTACTACAGTGTACTCTTAACTGTCAGTGTGTTTACTTAACAAGATAAATATTACATAATGAATCTAACTTGTAGTGAAATTCTACTCTGTTGGATCTTTCGGTAAATTATATCTACACATAGTGATATGTACTATACACAACAGTATAACTCGGTATTCTTTTAATTATCTGCGAAGTTTACGCTAAAGTCAATTAGTTCCTTAAATCGTACTAATTAAAATATTAGTAAGGAGGTTTATGGAAATTATTAAATGTTCTTAATTTCATTCACTGGCATCGTTTGAAAACTAGAAAGCACTGAACAACCGATTTCGCGAACTCCTCAGTAGTTCGCATACATAATTGTACTCTGGACTATTGGTCTCAAGCATGACTGCATCACCTTTAAACTAGCAAGCCGGAATCCAATGGTGTAAATGTCTGATCAAAATATTGTATAAACTAGACTTACTATACAGTTTATTGTTTTATTAATCAACTGTTTCTCCAGAGACACCGATAGAATCCGTTATTGAAAGTTCATAAAAGAAGTTTACCAAAGAACTTATTTTCCATAATGTTTAGTATGTTTGGACTGTGAAAGTTACGTCTTCAAAAAAGAAAGGGTCTTGACCAATCAGTAGGCAACGAAGAGAATCAAATACTAAAGATTATGTATTTATCGAAGCGTAGTCTAAAGGTTTAGAGCTATACTAGCAAATTTCATTGGAAACTTCGAAGAGTGCGTCGGCATTAAGAATAGTGGATTTAGAGCTAAGTTGAATTGTTTAATTCACTATTGTGAGGGAGAAGGGAAATCTACTATCCTTCATTGTACCTTGTTCGAACCAGAAGTAGTTTACTGTACACTAGTGGAACTTTCCGAGGAAATCTTTGTTCGGTAACACGTTGTAGCTCGCACACATAAAACAAGAGTGGCTTACAAGATAATTAAAGGAGGTTGAAAGTCTGAGTTTATGTGAAGGGGCTATGTGATAAGGTTAATAATATCAGCTGTGAACTACTAGTTAGTGGAAGTAGTAATAGCGATAACACAGATGTCAGTGTTGCAAAAGTGAAGCTTAGCGTGGGTTTCAGTACAACGAAGATCTCTTATACAAGCAATATTGATGACAATGTTACCTTACATGACAGAAATGGTTTCCGTTGTTTACTTTGTTTGAAGTAGTCAGAAAATAATTTTCTAGATCAGTGCCAGAAGTTTACAGATAAAGTTGTCAGAGAAAGTAAGAAATTCGCCTTTGCATACAAGTCATGTAACGTTTGTTTGAAGGTGAACTATCTAGCGACGGATGTCGGACGTCGAGAACATTCTCGGTCAAAGGGTTCTGTTGGCACCATCATACATTCTTCACATGAAGCAGGAAGAATGGACGAATCATCTTTATGATGTCTACGTCAATACTTCTCACTGTACGGATACTGAAGATGGTAATGGGCTCATAAAATATACACAGAAATTAGTTGCAGTGGTTAAGGCATCAGTATTACCAAAACATCATAAAAATACTTTATAGACCTGTGCCTTCTTAGCCAGTGGTGAAGATGCTTCATAGATGACCTAGTCAAAGAATTAGCTTTAGGAGAAAATACTAAAACAATGCCAATGAAGACTTTAGACGGTCAGTCGTTAGCCACCTACAGACTTTGTGTGCGACATTATACGGACTTATTATAGAAATTCATTTGAAGGTAAAACAGATCTTACACCCTTGAACTTAAAAATGTTGTAAGTGCTCACGTACAACAGACTGGAATTTTTCTAATGTCATGCCATTTGCTTGTAATTTTACTGTTATTTATTTTCGAAAACTCACACTCAGCTGGCTTAACACACATCATACATCAGGCGTAACACGAACTGAATTTTATACAGAAATAGATACTTTATCCTCCAGGGATGACGACCTATGGTAATAGTTAAGAGCGACAGTGAACGTTACAAAAGACCTGATCAACTATTTTTGTATACGGGCGCAAAACAGTGAATTTACGATACTTATCTATTGTTATACATCGAGGTATTCATGATCTTTCCTATAATAAGACATTTTATCCAACATCTGTAAGAAAAGGTTATTTTCACATAGAAAATATGTTTTGATCAAAAGAAACACAAGTGAAACGGACATTTTACAAACAAAACACAATTGTATTAAGTACTAAAAGATTACCGTATATAGCGATAAAAGCTAAATGCAACCTTTGTAGGAAAGACGAAGTCAGACGAAAATGAATGGCAATATTTCACTAAAATTATCTACCGAAATCTATGCTGTTTCAGTAATTGTATTTACATTTTGTACTGGTAACTCCACCTTTATCAGAATATGTGAAATGAAATAAAATTTTCACACAAACTAACATTTAAAACGTGTTTTTACAAACAACACCACGTTCACTAATGAAACTGAAAGTTTCGAAAGAAAACAATTTTTTATTCAACCATTAATTTTTTTTATAATTTAAATATTTATCTAGTGAGAATTTCTAACAGAACTGAATAAAAATTCACAATTTATTAAACAATCAAAAAAATAAAAATAAAATGCATATATCGTCTGAGAAAAAAAACAATCGTTTCGAAATGATAAAACTTATTTTTGAAAAACTAAGTACATACATTTCGATTTGCAAAATTAAAATAACATTTCGAAAAATTTAACTCAACTTCGGGTTTTATCACATATTCGTTCTAGCTAAAAAAGCACTAGAAACCGGAGATTATTGGAATGTTTCATTCCCACCTACGACTACTACTTGACAGTGCACACCAAATGATTAGCATTACATGGGATTAAGCGTATGATTTGAAAATTCTGCATATTAATCAAGTGAGTCAAATTTATACTACTGAATCGTACGGAAGTCAACATGTTCAGTTTGGGTGAAAATATAATTATCTGTTATAAAACAAAACAGGAAATAAGATGCGCTACAAGTCGTTGCTTGATGTTTCCGTAGAATTCGGTATCTGTTGGAATGATTATAACCCACTGGTAAACAGTGAACAAACATGATAAAAATCTTAATGCTCAAAGCGTTCAGTTAACACTAGTCAATGTACGCAGGCTTTCACCAATGCCAGTGAAATCTCTGCATACATGGAAGCAACACGGTATCATAATCAGGTGTCTGTGCATTGTAATAAGAGCTGATGCTTCTGCTTGGCCATAATGCATAATAAAACTTCAGTGTGCAAGAAGTGTTAAAAAGCATACTTAAGTTCTATTTGATATTTTTGTTTGTCTAGATAATCAACACAAGAGGACGACATTGACAATCGTCCATAATAATTAGCGAAAACGAAGAATATATGAAGAATCGTTTATGAAGTGATTTGTTCGAACATATCTTTATTTGATTCACACTCAGGACTGATATATCGATATATATAAATTCAGGATAATTTACACATAATACAACCCATTTCTCGCTGAAAAACAAAGTCCACTACGTATTCAGTCCTTTCAATAAAATTATTTTACCGACGTGCTTTAAAGAAAAAAACTAAACAAGTCATAAGAAAAACAACCAGCTCACTAATGTTTGATAGAAGACTGACCATTAGTATGATTATACTACAAATGTTTAACGTCCACGAAAGTTTCATGTAAAGGAACACGTAAATTTCAAAGAAAAAAAATAAACAAACTAGAGTTGGGGCTATAAAAATCGATTAAGATTTCATAGGATTTTGATCATCATAAAAATTGTGGAACCGATTGAAATTCATAGTACACACTTACAAAGAACGATACAATTATTGAACTGCTTGCCTACCATGGAATAATCAAACGTTGCTCACACAAATTGTACCCTGATTAGCTTATTCCAAAATATACCAAAAGCATGTGTAAATGCTAACACACTTTTCAGTGTAGCATCGTCAGTTTTGTCGAAGAATAAACGTTGTTTCCTTTTATCTTCTCAGTAGTGTGAGGACGGGTTCAAGAGTTATTCGGGGCATAGTCTAAGATCAGTTGAAAAGTGTTGCTCTACATCACCCTTTAATTTACTACTTCGTTAAGATTCAATTGCATAGCTAGATAGATGCTAGTCATATCAGTTAGTTACTGTTCTACTCTTGACATGATCAACTCAAGCATTAGTAACACAGCTAGTTCCTAGATAACTTATTTCATGGCGCATCACTTTTTCTATTTTTCAGCAAACCTATTCTACTATTCATAAAAACAGAGTCACATATTGGATGCCCAAATGTGAAAAACAAGCCAAGACATATGGTTTTGCTGATAGTATTATGTTAGCACGTGATATTCACAGTGATTTAGTGAAAGCATTCCATCCACATCGAAGGTTATCGGAATATGCTGGTTGGACTGGTATGAAACTAATGAATACTGTCAATGATACTCAAAATTCGTCGTAAGTATTTGGAATTTTTTGTGTGAACCACGATTCTGTGGTTCACGGTGGAACTATTTCAAAATTTGTTTATTTTATTATAGTAATTATGAGCACTAAAATATTTTGATATGATGTTCAATGTTCCCGACCATACACATATGACGTCGCCTACGTTTTCTCTTGTTATTATATAACTTGACATTTTTCTTTCCCGAATGGCTGTTAAGTGAATGAATTTCAAATTCAATAATTTGAGGATAGTGTAACATTATTCTACTAAGTAAAGCTTATATGTGTTAGATGGTTGGAGATAGTCGAAAGAAATTTCTGGACTTATGTTTCGGGTTAGTCGGCGACCATCAGCATGGCATATTTTCAATCGTACCGGAACTAATAGTTTGTCATCTAGCAGCATCATAACATAGTGCACGGAATATCGAGTCATTCAAACAAGTGGCAACATTGCAACTTAATCCATGAAATCCTATCAACACGAAACGATTGAACAAACATGATATTAGTCACTACTCTGTCATACAACAATCCTGCAGATATTTTGTGTTAGCTCTGACACCCTACAACGTTTTTATGACCACTACTGAACACACTTGAATGCCCAAAGCTTAAAAATTGAAATCGAGTCAAAGACTCAGTGCTTCGACCACTATGCTTTGTCGCTTCTAAAGATACTGTTATGAAAGTTGAATGGCCCGTTAGTTTTCAAGAACACCAACAAACGCTCCTATAGACTGGATTAATCATTGATTTCGAACAGCACTCATAAATCGTCCGCAAATTTTCTTGTATTTCTAACAGTAAATCTTTAAGCTTTCGTTATCGATTGGTCCATTGTTACTTGTTGAGAAACTCGATATTTTTCTAAGGCTTTATCTGAATCAGTCAAACTAGAACAATTATTGAAATCAGTATTTCAAACCTCAGACACTAGGTACTCAATTGTGTACCGATTTCCTCCATATATATTCATGCATGTGTGTTTTCTTTGTAATCATCAGTGTTCGAAGAAGGAAATGAATTTATTCGGTGTTCGGAATCTTTCCAATTAGTGTGAACTAGAGGTAAAATATTCCTACTGATTATGAGAATTTGTACTGTTGGTCGTTGACTTAATAAATCGATCACAAATCGGTCACAATAAAATCCTTCTTACACACCACAACATCTCTCTTATCTCCACGACTCACTCTTCTCATATCTCTTTATCACCCTTCACTGCTAATGAAAACGATTTGAGTTCACGAAACGTTATTCCCAGTCTCTTGAAACCTCGTTCTTAACTAACTATGAAAGCTTTTAATGTCCGGACATTATATCAAATAGAACAACAAGCTTCCTTAGCTAGGCCTTTAGAATCTCGCGCCATCGATATATGCTGAGTCTCCGAAATACTTACACAGGGTCTGAGTACAGTGATTAAATTGACCTCACCTTGTCCAAATAAAGAATCAACTCGGTTTACGCTTCATGTTTCTGGAAGCCATTCTGCTGCTTCCCATGGCCTCACTGGTGTAGGTATAGCATTAAGTCCTAGGGCAGAACTAGCTCTCTTAGACTGGATCCCAGTAAATAGTTGCTTGTGCGCTGTCCCACTAACTAGGACAATAAGGACTCGAAAAGATAGGGACGCTCGCCGTTGCCTCTTATTAGGATCTGCTTATGCAGTCCAGACGAGATGAAAGATGAGTTTCACAGAAAGCTTTCAGTCCTCAAGAAAGTTAGGCGCTCTGATATAGTAACAGTGACTGGTGACTTCAATGCTCAAGTAGTTAGACTCAGTCAGCCGGTTACAACGGAGAAATTCGTACGTACGTACATCAGTTCAGGTTGCCATGCCACATTAGCACGGAGACGCAATTGTCAATTCAAATCCCATAGTAGTAGAGATAGTAGTAGTATTAGCAATAATTAAAGAGATTAGTGTTCGAAGATACTACTTAAGAGGTATAATCTGGTGAAATAAACTTAGAAAAAGGAAGATAAAGGTTGATGAAGAATCCGGAGGATAGAGATTTAGAGGACACAAAGAATGGATGCACGTGCGCCATTGCAAGCACTTTTGAGCCATGTCATTCAGGGTTTCTAACCATCGATTATTATCATCTCGCGGGCCCCAACCACGTAGTCGACACCTGCCAACATGATCCAGTCCACTTGTCAGTGACTTCATGAATTTGTGCCATGTTTTGGCTTGGTCGCCTCTAGCTTTCTTCCAACCTACTTCTACATCACAAAACAGTTCATCGAGGCAGTCGGTGATTGGCATTCGTAATACATGCCCCGACCACCTCAACTGAAGTTTCATTACATCATCTGTTGATTTGCCGTCCTTACGCAATACCCTTTTCCTAACAACAACATTGTTTACTTGACGGTCTCCGGATATACGATCGATGCTTCCAAGACACCTTTGATCGAATACTTATCGCCTACGAATATACTCAACACTAACTGTCCACGTTTCACAACCATAGAGTAGAGCGAAGCAAACAGCTGCGCAATAAACCCGGTTCATAGACGGATAAGTCGCTTACTCCATAATTGACGCAAGTTGGCAGAAGCCAATCGAGCCTTCTGTATCCGTGCTGAGAGTTTTTCAGACACCAGGCTATAGGCACTGATGAGACTCCCAACATAAGTGAAGCGGTGAACACTCTCGACTACTCCACTCCATATCACTAGTTTAGGTGGTAAGGAGAGACACCTCAGTGGATCTTATGGTATTGTGGATGTTCGAATTGATAATGACGACCGTCTGCTGCAGCTATGCTCTTATAAGCGCCTATTCCTAGCAAATTCTAATTTTATGCATCAGGAAAAACATCTTTTGACATGGCAACCTGACTGACTGTTACACCACCTATAACATGAGTATGTGCGACTTTGTGCAGTCCGGACATTTCTTGTAATTTGTTTTTTATTTCTCTTGACTGTTCATCAGTTGTTATTACCATCCCAATTTTATCCATGATTTGAATATAGTGTGAAGTTTTTGTAAAATGCATGGTTTCCAACGAAATCATGATGAAAGTTTATTAGCCCTGATAATAGTAGTAATAATGGTAATAATAATGATGATTTTAATAAAAACCTGTCCTCGTCTACACAAATATGAATTTAAAGGCAGAACTAACTATTACATTACGTGAATAAATGGTTGTGCTGACCAATGTATTCTTGTTTACTTGCATACGCAAATGCTTATTTTTACTGAAACGTATGAAATATAGCTGAAACTCCACTACACTTAACTTGTCTATGTTGGCGACTACATTTCAGAATAAATGGATTCACTCTTTCATAATTTTTAATCCTTTTTATACTGTGTATGAATAGCATATCAGTTCATTCACGAATTCTGTGGTTACGGCAGGGCTACATTTGTCCAATTTATTCTGTCATAGCTAATAAACTAAACTCCAATGGTCAAGCATTGTCAATAACACCAAAACTTCAGCAGTGGGATTATCTCATCATGATTGGTCGTCAATGGACATATGGAAGCTCTGTTGAATTATCAGTTTTATGGTATCCTCCAGTAACAGTTGGAAGTTATAACAATTATCCTGCAAAAAGTCTAATTGTATACAATTGTTCAAAGTCTCCCAGTGCATATGTCAGTTTGGTATATATTTATATTGTAAATCAATAAAATGTTTCTATAAACAACAGTAGTAATTGTAACGAAATATATCAGAGTAGAAAATATGCTTAATGTTTCAATGTGATAAATGAATGTCATTCGTCCATGATCTAATCATCTTTTATCATCTGATTGATATCATTAGATGAACTATTATTTTGTCATGAAAGAAGGCACAAAATACCCCATAATTAAAAACTATCTCATTTAATGATTAGGAATGCCTGATTTTTAAGTCAGTCATAACCGGTGTGAACTTAGCACAGAAATCCCCTAACCTAACAACAAGATAAAAATAACCGTATGATTAGCTGAGGAATCAAAGCATTCTTAGTGACTGTGATAGTAAGAAAGGACAAAGTCCGAGAAATTATTTGAGCGTGATATAATGTAAAGATTCAAGTCACGGCATAATGGAAATCAATATGTGTGTGAAAATAAAAGCATAAATATATTTCCAACGCTGACCGATTAGAAACTTAGTCAACCGATGTTTGTAGATACGAACTGGTATTAGTTATATATTATTTTTCAAAGA